GGGATTAAATACTTGATTGTATAATTGTATAATGTTATTATTCCTGAGTTAATGAAATTAATTATAAACTATTATTATAAACCTGAACTTGGAATAATAATTAACCTAAATAATCGGAAATGATATTTAAAGTTGAAGAAATTGAAAGATGATTAATGGATGAATATTAATACTAAAGATAATGATGAACTTGAAAAGATATTGGAATAAATAGAATGAAAGGTCTGATTCCCTTTCTAAAATAATTGAATCAGTAGTACCTTTTAAAATAATGAAATAACAGTCTTACCTTCGGGAAGGACTATAAACTCCTTAAAAAAACTATTAAGTCACACTACTTAGGTAGTTCTTGAAGAAACTAGGAACCACTGGTGACAACGCATAACTGATATGAATTGGTCTCCCAAAGTTTATCATATCAAAGAATCCTTAATACAAAAAAATCAGCCTGTATTATACTGACTTATGGATGAAAATGGTAATGAACCTGAAAAATCATTCGTGAGAGAACAATTGATGAAAGTTGGCAAAGTTGAATATCCACCTAAATGAATCCTTAAACAGTATTAAATTAGTCATCTATAAGTACATCCTTAACGGCTTCCTCAATTTCTGTTTCAGTTATAGGTCAATCTTTTTTGGATAGTTCATAATAAAGATTATATAAATCTTCTATACTAGTAAGTAGCTCCTTTTTATCTTGATACTATTTTCCATATCGTGTCATTCTTTTATTATATGCTTCATCATTTGGAAATAGTGTTATTACTGTATATTTTATATATTTATCTTGATTTTTTGCATTACGTAAATTTTTTACATATCTAGTATATTCACTAATAAGCTTATTATCTTTTCTATATCAAAGACGAAAGGCTTCTTTTATTATTTTAATTTGTGCTGATTCAATCATTTTCCATGTAATATTATATATTGATAACTTTGAGTCCCGCTTATTTATTAAACTTGAACTATTGCTAGTCATACTTTGTATTTTGTTTTATATAATATAAGTTTTATTTAATAAAAAAATTAGTTGAGACAGATACTTTTTGTTAAAAAATGCCTTACTTATTTCTTAGCGTAAACTAGATTTCATCTAATATATTTTCTATGGCTTAATCATTTATATATTGCTCTTTTTTATTTAACTTATTAATCTCAATTTTTGGATATTTGTTTAGTAATTGATCTAATATTTTATCAGTAATTCGTTCACAATTTTGTATTTTTATAGTTTTTATATATGTACATTTTTCTGGTATACTTAAGATTGATTTTGGTGCTATCCGATTACTTCCATAAATAAATATATACTTTAGATTCTTGTATATATCCAATGTTATCTTTAATGAACTATTGTTGAGGAATCCCCAACTGCAATCCTTAAATGATATAGTTATTATATCTTGACATATACTTACAATGTCTTCTAATAGAAATTCGTTCATATTATAATTATCTATTTTTTTGAATTCTATTTGTTTTATATATTTTGTTACATTCGGTAATAGTTTCTTTTTTACTAATTTTACAAATTTTATAATATTGTATATATATAATGTAATTCTTCTCCATATTAAATACGTTACATATTCATTCCATCGTTTATTAACATATAAAACTGAGGATAATAATTCATTATTAATACTATACTTACACGCAAAATTATTTTGGGGCCCGAAATTACAATTTCGGAGAAAAAAGTCGAAATAGTTTTTCATAGAAGACGAAATTATTTTATTTAAAATCCAAAATTTTTTGACTACCCAGATTTATTCTTTAATTAAAGATACATATAACTGGGTACTTTTTTTACTTCCATATATAGAATAGATTTTGTATAAATCTCAAAAAGTCAAAATACCTCAAAAATCTAAAATTAATTTTGGGAATATGTATAATTAGTACACTGCGAAACAAGACATTCCATGTCTAATTTATTATTTTGTGTTCGTAAATGTTGAAATATTTCTATTATAATTTCATTCGGAAGATTTAGATCATACCTTTTTAGTGATTTCCTTGTTATAGTTATCTCAGTATTTTTTTCTTTATCTTGTTGTTTTTTTCTAAAATCTGGTAAACTATTTGTAATCAAATTTAGAATTTCAAGATATAATGACTTCCAAGTAATTGATATACAATTTTTTATCGTACAAACTTCTCTCTTCTCAAGTTTTAACTCACCCATTTCTATATCTGTTTTGAGATTTACTTGCCCTGCTACTATAAATTCATCCATATGAATGCGCTTTATTTAATCACCTAATGGTCTCATAATTTCTGATATTCTTTTTCTGACTGATGCCAATAGAAACAGTTTGATTCTTGAATGAGTTCTATAATTTTGTCCATTTCTTTGTTCACATAATGCTCCCCATAATGAAACTAATAATGCTTTACTTACTTTTTCTACTATTCCACCTTTTTTCTTAATATTGTATAGTATATTATCCCATTTTCTAAACATATCACTCCCAGTAATATGTGTATTTTTTTCATATATAAGTGTGTTTGGTGTTTCATTTATTAAATATATTTTTAACTCGTTTTCCTTAGTATATTCTAAATCATAATGTGTATAAATTCCTTATGGATTATATCGTAAATATCACGTATATTGTAGACTTTTTTTAGGGTGACTTCCTTCAATTATTACTTTATAAATTCCATATGGAAATTTATTTCAACTTTTGCTAATAACGGATTTATAATATAAAATTTACCTGATGCAATTGGCCATGACACCTTTTTCTTTAACATTTCAAATACATATATAAGTTTACATCATACTGAATAGCTTCTCCTTTATATCTTTCAGCAAATACTAAAGCACCTGTTGTTGCTAAATTTAACCAAGCATTTTCTTTTTCATCTACTTTTTCACTTCTTTTGGGTGCTAAAGTAATTTCTCTAAAAAGTTTTAAACTTGTTAATGTATAACATCCTGATTTTCGCATATCAACTTGTCCTTTTGTCTTTTCTACTATAGTTTCCGATTCTTTGATAAATCTTTTATATGCTTCTATAACTGTTTCTTTTAAATCTGTTTTAATAAAATAGTACTTATTAGATAATGCACAAAAATCTTCTTTAACACCATACCATTTTCTTTTTCTGTTATAAAATTCAAATTCATTTGATGTATTTTTATAAATTAAGATAGTTTTATTAGCTAAACTAGATCCTATCTGGGGTTGACTGCTGGCACATTTTCTTCTCTCAGTTGAACTGACTGGTGCATCGGTCAGTTTTCATCGAACGAAATGTGATCGTCCTCTGGAGCTGGTACTGGATTTTGTGTTGGAGTAATATTTTGCACTAGAACAAGGGCTGTAGCTGGATTTCCTATTGGAGCTTGAGTAAAATTCTTAGGTCGACAAGGATTTTTTCGATTTAAATGTTGTTGATATTTCTGATATATGGAAAGATTTAGACTACATCTATCACAAGTAGTATTTTTAATTATCGTGTATAAAAAGTATTATATATTACTTTTATAAAAATCTTTACTTTAATTAATTATTTATCCTAATTAAATATGATCGGTGAATATACCTGCCAATATATACATAATTCTGGTAAAATTTGTGATGGTTTATATACACGTCCTGAGGGATACCGTCTTCATTATAAGTCAAAAAAATGTGTTCCTTGTAGTGATTGTGGAAAACCAACTGCTTCTGCTTGCGAACGATGCAAAATTCATAAGAGAGGATATTATGTTACATCTTATTATCAAAGACTTTGTGAAAAAGCATATAGTATAGAAAACAGCCATTCTATATTTATTTTTGACAATGCAAATATATAGTTATTCATTATTTTCCTTTAACAAAAGTTTGATTAAATTTTTTATTGTGAAGCAGATTGAATTGTCCTAAAAATTTATCTATCCTTTTTACTATCTTTTTTATCATTAGAAAACTTAAAGAATACTACTACTCTACTTTATTTCGCAGTAATAAAAAATTAATTGTTAACTAAATAGATAACTATGCTCTGCTATGCTTCGCATCTGAAGTCGCTATGCTTCTCTATGACAGAAAGCAATTTAGTAATCAAATATGTTAACTAAGCTCCCTGTAACAGAAAGCAATTAGTAATCAAATACGATAACTATGCTTTGCTACGCTTCGCATCCAGAGTTGCTATGCTCCTCTGTGACAGAAAACAATTTAGTAATCAAATAAGTGGATATATATTTTGGTTAAATTGATATAATTTTGATCAAAAATTCAATTTATGTATCTATTTATGAAAGTTATTGAGAATAAGATAAAAACTTGAAATCTTTAGAAATAGATTAGAGTTAACCAAAATTACACCGCTCGTGTATCTAAAAAGCCTACTATTATATTACTCAGCATTATATACTTCAACTCTGGCTTTCATTGAGAAATTAATTAGAAAGCTAGGGCACTATATATCTAGTTTGGATATAGTCCTTATATCGGATCCACAAATGACAACACATGACTGAATATATCATCAATATATTTTTTTGCTCATGTGATTCAATGACAAAAATTGATTACTCTTATCAAATTAGCATATATTATATCATATATTGCCTAATATACAAAATGTACTACCTTGGTATGTGTCATAAAAAGCAAAGTACATATTACTCAAGTGTGATCTAAAATATAAAATGTATATCATATTGACACATGTCTCAGTGATTCTTAAGTGACAATACAAATGCAACCTATATAGTATCCAATATATAGACTATAATTATTCTGAATATGTAAACTATAATAATCCTGAATATGTAATCTAAAAAATAAATCATGACACCTTTGAGTATGGCCTAAAAAATAAACTATATTATATTCTCAAGATAATTATAATTTACACTAAGTGGTATAATTATAATCTAATTAGATTATAATTATATTACTTAATTTCTGATGAATAAAAGTAACAGTATTACATTGATATAATAATACTCTATTAATTGAACTGATGCAAACTTCATGTAATTTTAATAGAAGTTCAAAGATTGCAACTGTGCCATTGAACCATTCTCAAAGGCCATGAATATTAAAAAAGTTAATATGGCATTTGTATTTTTCTAAAGATATCCTCTTAACAAGTACATATAGAAGCCTTGATATAATTAATAAGAATTAGGTTTTTCTTCAGTAGGAAAAAAACAGGTCTTACTTACTCAACTTGTGTCTAGTTAGCTTTTGGATGAAGAATTCCTTGATCCCATCAAAGTTTTTGAAAATTTTTCAGTTCATTTGCAGAAATGAAAATCATTATTATTGATTACTAGTGTAACTAATTAAAATTATATGAATTATAAACCAATCAAAAATTTTTATCAATTTACACATAGGAAAAAATTAATTATATTTATTCTTTCTGTATCTTTGATTTCATAATTTAATTTTTTATTTATATTAATCCACTCTTCATAATCTTTATTTAATTTTTGCATTAATTTTTCAAATGTTTTTTGATTATATCCAAGTACCAACCAAAAGCCCCAGGTTCTTTTCACCCACCTCCCAAAAACTTGAATTGTATCCCGGGGGAGGGTACTTTGTTTAGCATGGGTTATAATAATTATAATAATATAATAATATAATGCCTATAAATTGTACCTGGGTACATTTCATAGGGGTTATTTTGCCCTAGGGTACTTTGGTCGGCAAATTACGGTATGTCGTGCGTATATGAAAAATTTTTTAAGGGCCAACTTCGTTTTGGAATTTTAATTTTTTCTGATACCTATTAACTTCATGTTTCAATTATGGGATTAACAGAACTAGCATCCTCTTCAGATATTGGATTCCGCTTCTGGAAATAAGACGTACCCCAGATTAAATCTGAATATACTTGATTAAATTTCGCTTTCACGGGATATTTTTTATTTAACTTATGCAATATATATTACGTATAAAAAATTGGTTTAAATCGATATTACATATAATAGAAAAAATAGATCGTCAAAGATAAAATGTATTATTAATTAATCTTATTTTATATATCAGAGTAGAAATAAATTATACATATATTGAAATAATGAAATAATGAATAATAAATTTTCCGGTTAATTACCAAAACGGATAAAAACCATCTCATTTATTTGAATTAAAGTCTGAATTTATGTATTTTAATGAAAAAAGAATATATTGTACATTATTATACTGTGCCATTTGAACACTCAAATTCTTATTATTTGTATTATTTGTACATTTCTTCTATATTTGTAAATAAATAATATAAAAATAAACATTTTGAGGACTTTTGTGATCCAAGTTAATAAATTAATAAAACCATTTCACATAATGGATGAACAAAAGATTGATGATATGAAATAATTAATTTAACTTTCAAATTGTAAAAAAATGTTAAAACGTGACAATTTATAATTTTAATCACGTTTCGTTTTTTTTTTTCAATGATTCAATGATTTAGCCAATTAATAAAGTAGATTAACTGCATATTAGGTAATATTAGCCGCCTCCTGACCCCAAAAAATTTTTTCACTATACAACGTCATTATCTCCATTCCGCCTCTTTTTTTTCTACACTATAATAAAAATACATCACTATCCTTTTTGTTTTTCGGTTACTATTATAATATATAATAGTATTTAAATTATTTTGGTGGATTTATTGAATAAACATCAATATAAAATTCAACTAAGATATATATATATACTTATAAATCATGAATTGTAAGCGTTTTCATTACCTTAGTCAAATCTCGGAAAATTCTCATTTTTGTACTAATTTTATTATTTTTCCTTTGTTCATATATGTTATATATAAAATTACAATAAAAAATAAAATAAAATAACCAATAGCGATGGAAACTGATAAAAATACCGTGAACTCCTATATAAGAGAGATCGAAGGTTTCCTCGACAAAAAACGAGTCTTATACGAGGCGGAAGGAAAAAGGGATTTTGTTCCTTTAATAGATCGAACCGTGCAAATGTTGCGAACCATAAAAGACACTGTGTCAGAGACATCCAGTGCAGAGCAAAGGTATTTTTTAAGTTGTATGTGGATTCAGCAATATTATATTGAAGTGAGAGAGATTAGAGATGGATTAGAGAGATATATTGGAAAAGATTTATATATGAAAGCTCTATATTATTCTAATAGTTCTATTATTCTATTATATTAAATGATGATGATGTTTTTATTAAAATAATATAGCAAAAGCTCTTCTTCTTCTTCCCAGCACACATTCGATCGATTACCCGGGAAAATGTATCATTATGCTGAAGGTGAGGTGATTGACTGTGCCATATGCATAGAACAAGTTGAAGCAAAACAAGCCCAAGTTAGGTTGTCATGTGGTCATATATACCACTTAAATTGTCTTGGGTACGTTTTTCTCTCACTTTATATATTTGTTTCTAAACAATTCTTTGAAGATAATTTTTTTTTAAAAAAAAAATCATTATTCAACCGAAATTTTATTTTCTTCTTCTTTAACAGTTCTCACTTCAATCACTCAGGTAATGAAATAACATTATTATAATTAATATAATTAATTTAATAAAAATTTAATCAATATAATAAAATTTAATCAATGTAATTGATTTTAAATCATAGGTGATTTCAAATGTCCTTATTGTCGATTGGAAGTTGAAGATTACTCTAAACAACCAAGAGCTTGGGAATATCCCGTAAATGGTCCACCAACACAACAAAATCTCAATGAAACTAATGACATACCACATCCAGGAGAATTGGACTTTGCTAATTTCCAACGTGGTATTTATCCGAGTTTTTATGATTGATGATTGATAATCATCTTATTTTTTTTTTTTGAAAGGGAAGCAAAAAAAAATTATTATGTTCTTTCGTTGGTTATTGTTTAAATTTTTTTTTTCTTTCCGCCATAATATTAAAAGGAGTTTTACAAGTTGTGAATTCTATTTTCGGAGGAAGATTAAATCTTGGACATCCTTTCCGTGATGATAATGGTACCGAAGAAGAATTTTTTGACAATGAAGCGTACGTATTTTATTTTTTCTTGATATTTAAAATAGATTTAACTATATTAAATTATATATTTATAAATTATATTGTATATATTTAACTATATTAAATTATTTTGTATATTTAATATATATTGCAGTGAAGATGGCTCAGATGTAGATCAAGCGGTTTATGAACCTCATTTTGATGAGGTACCAGATTCCCTCGAGAATTCAGAAAATGAATACGATAGCGAACATAATTTATCTGATGATTCTGAGGATGAACCTTATGAATTAGTAGATAATTATCGTTATGTCACATTAGTACGTCGTGATGGTACATCTGAAATTGAACCTCCACAATTATCAATACCTCGTTCGAGCTCCCGTCAATCATCAATATCTCGTTCACATTCACCTCGATCATCAATTTCACGTTCACGTTCACCACCACAAACGACACAATCACATCACCATCATCACCATCATCACCCTGATAATAATACTTTAATACGGTCACGCTCTCCATCTCCTCATGATAGAGATAATTATAATAATTATTATCATGGAAGAGAACGATATTATGGATATCCACCTAATTCAAGTCATAGTCCAGTTCGGGAAATTTATGGTGGTAGTGGAGATGGAGCATCATCGCATAGATATGAAATTAGGAGTAATAATATACCTTCATTTATAGAGCGTCCGACTCAAGTGTTTTATGAGCGTTCACAAAGTAGTCGTAGCCATTCAATTAGTCCTATACAGGAGGAGTCTCATAGGTATGACAATGAATCTCTAGACAATATAATTGTTTCCGAAATTAAATAATATAAATAATATAAATAATATAAATAACATTTATTAATAATATTGATATTGTAAAAAAAAAAAAATTATATAGGGATAACGATAATTCACGTGCTGGATCAAAAGGTTCAACACCATTTGTTCGTACAGAAGAATCATCTTATAATAATAATTCAAATCGACACAGTTATAACAATACAACACAACCCATTTTAAATGAAACACCAGTAAATCCAATAATGAGATATGAAGCAACGTCAGATTCGGAATATGATGAATTTTCAAATGAAATATTTAGACGTTCAACCAGTTCTTCAAGGTTGAGAAATTTGTATCAGGGGGAAAATTCTTCAAGAGAGGGAGGAATAAATGATGTAGAAGATATAGAAACAAGTAGTTCGTCATCATCATCACCAGAACATTCAGAAGTAGAATATGATGAGCAGGATGATGATGATGATGATGAACGAGAAGAGCAAGATGATGAAGTGATGTATACAGGATACAATTGGGGTATTTTTTTAAGAGTTTTTATTGGATTTGATTATCATCTTTATTTCTTTTTATTTTATTTTATTTTATTTTTTTTATTCTATAGGTGTAGAGAATGGAATGGATACATCAGATGAAGATGAAGGATTTCGACGTTGTTTTTCTAGACCATATTCAGCATCATCAGATTCACAAGGTTTTTCATCTGAAGATGAAGATGAAAATAATTTTGTTTCACCAACCACCACCAACACCACTACCACCACAAGTAATCGTACAAATAACAATTCAACCACGAATAGAAATGAAACAAGCCAATCAAATCAACAATGGTTTAAACCTTGGGCATGGTATGCAGCACATCATAATACACCAGGTACAAAAAGATTTTCTACTACAAGTGATTTAACAGTCAATGGAGTTGACAGTGATACTACAATTAGCAGTGGTGACGAGTTTGAATTATATTCATGAATTATTCATGATTGGATGTAGCAAATAAATTTATTATCATTTTTTTTTTGTATTTAGCATTTTTTTTTAAATCGTTATTCATTTTTACACATTTTCATATGATTCCTATCTCTCTCTCTCTCTCTTTTTTATTATCAGTTTATTATGCATAGTTTTCGCATTTTATGCATAATAAAAATTACTGGAGATACGAACGAATCAACGGATTAACCTACCTAAAAAATATCAAGAAAATAGATTGAATAAAGATTATTTGAATGGAATGTTAATAGGAGAAAGATATATTTTTAAATAAGTTTGGACATTGTTTTAATAATAAGAAAAAAATATTACTAACAAAAAAATTCATGAAATCTATTGCATTATTTACTATTGTATTTAGTTTTTTTTTGTTTCAAAGGTAGAAAAAAAAATATTCATATATAATAATTATTGGAGAATTAGACATTCTTCAAACTAATAAATAACTTAAAAAATTACTAACACGAAAAAAAAAGATTTAAGTGATTTCATCGATTTTTTTTACGGTTTCTATTTTTTTTTCTCGAGACAATGTTTAATATAAAATTACATATAATATAATTCATATATAAATCATGTAAATATATATATATATTTATTTATATATTTATTCACAAAAAAATCTATTTATCAAATATTCGCGTATTTTAATTCGTGTCAAACAGAAAAAGAAAAAAAAAACAAAACAAATAAAATCTCTCAATAAATAGAAATATTTAATATTTTCTATCTTCTATAATTCATATGTATGTATATCATAATTTTACATTTTATTCACAAAATTTTCATTCAAACGCTTTGGTTAAATGATTAATGATTTACAATAACAATAATGATAATAATATTCTTCTACAAAAAAAAAAATAATAATTATATTTGACGATATAAAAAATGATCTTGCATCTTTTACAATTGACGAATATACAAAATTAATTTATATTTGGATCGGGGTGATAATTTATGTAGAATTATTCTAATTATAGTGTGTGTATGGATTATGAATTATAATAAATAAATAGTATAATAAATTTAGTAAGATGCACTCACTTCAAGGATTAAATGAATTAAATGAGAAAAATGAAAATGAGAAAAAATGAAAATGAAAAAAGTTAACTAACCTGAAATTTAAACTTGGATTCTTTAATTTCAGTAACTGTTTGTCTATGTTCTTTTCGTAATTCTGAAATTCTAGCTTCCATTGTAAGAAGTGATGATTGTTCTGCATCAAATGCTTGTAATGGCGGATTTTCTGCTGTTGCAACTCTTAATTGAGAATACGCATTTTCAAGAGAAATTTTTAAATTTTCATTTTCATTTTCATATTTTTCCTTTGTCCCATTTAATTCCTTCAGCGTTTCCATATGCGTTTGTCTTAATGATAAAATTTCTTCCCGAAGTTTTTGAATTATTTCTTCGGAATTTGATGATCCCGCTTGATTCTCTTCTTGAAATTGCATTTCTTGCAATTTATTAACTTCATCTACCAAAAGGTTAACTTTCGATTCAAGTTGTGCAATCCTTAGATTTCGATCTCCCAATTCTTCCTTTAATTGTTCTTTGCTTTCTACTTCATTCGTATTCGTTATTCGATCCTTTATCGCCGTTTTATATTCTTTTAATTCTTTCTCTAATTGACCGATATATTCATCTTTACTGATTATACGTTCTTCCAATAATTGCACCGTTTCACTTATAAAACTTTCTCGTCGATTATCTGCTCGTTGTTGTATTTTAATCGAATTTTCTACTTCAAGTTTCTGAAGATTTGCTTCAAATTCTTTGATTTGTTTTTGAAGATCTGCGATTTTGCTTTTACTTTGTTCATTAACTTGTTCTAATTCATTTATTTGTTCATCTTTCTCTTGCAATATTGTTTCCGTAAGATTTAATGCTGCCTTGGTCATTGCATGTTCACTTTCAAGTGTTGAAATAATAACGTCATATTGTTTACCTTGCGGTTCATTTCGATTATTCTCCATTTCATCATAGTTATCTTGGTTATCTTGATTATCTTGATGCAAAGCTAATTCAGCTGATGTCTTTGCATGTTTCTGTGATAATTCTGCATATGATCGTTGAAGTAACATTAATTGTTCTTCCAATGCTTCAACTTCTTTATCTTTCTCTTTATGAGTTTGTAAATTATTACTATGAGGAAATGTGGTCAAAGGTGACCCTGGTCTCATTCGATTGACTGGTTCCCTACCATTAACAATATTATTGTACATACTACGCCCTGGCGTTCCTGTATTTATTGCAGTTGGTGTATTCCTACCAGGAATACCTGATGTTGGTGTACTTCTTCCCGGAATTCCAGATGTTGGTGTACACCTTCCAGAAATTTTAGAATTATTATTATTAGAAGTAGGTGTACTTCTACCTGGAATACCTGGAAGTGATGTTACTGAATTGCTTCTACTACTTGGAAGTCTAATTCCATTAGTATGAATACTATTAGGTGTGGTAGGTGTGGTGGGTGTAATTCTACCCGGACTGATAGTTCCATTACTGGACCGACGTTGATTATTATTATTAGTATTAGCGACAAGAGATTTAAGTGATGCAACTTCTGATCGAAGTTTTATAACCAAGCCTTGTAAATGTGCTACATCATTCCAACCTGATTCTTCTTTATTCACTAAAGCCGTATTTTTAATATTACGTGCACGATTTGCATACTTAAGTGTACTTATTGTTTCATGAATATTATATTCGGCTGGTGATACACAAGCGATCATTAAAGTCTGCGCATTACCTCCAAGAGAATCTTGTAATAGACGTGTAAGTTTTGAATCTCTATAAGGAATGTGAGTCATATGTCTCGCTTTATTTGGATCACCAAGGGCCGAAATTACATTTCCCAACGCAAGTAATCCAGAATTTATAGATATTCCTTCTTTTGCTCGATCTCCACTCGCGGAAGTGCGTTTTAACTTTAAATAAAATCATATGATCAAAAAGTCGAATTTAATATAATAATTAATAATAATAATTAATAATAATAATTAATAATAATAATAATAATAATAAATGAATATGAATATATCTATATAAACCTACCCTTTCGCTTCCAGCTAAATCAACGAAATGAAATTTGCTAGTTATTGTTTCCCATTCGCCCTCATCATATCCGCCATAATTTGAACTAACTTTTGGCGAAGGACTACGAAGATCTAGGTTTGTTGAATCGGGTGGAGGTGTGGCAGGTGGTCCACCCATGGGTCCATATGGTACAAATTTTTTATGTATCATTGTAACAGAGAAAATTGCATGCGATCTGGAGGATTTTGCATTCATATCCGTAAATCCAACTTGTCTATTTTCCGATCCAAATGCTAATTTACTTTTTTTTTTTTTTGTAATAATGAATATATATATATACATATATATAAAGAATTAATTTTAATTAGTAAATTTTCAAATAAATTAATTTTCATAAAATTTTTAATAATAATGGTTTTTTTCTCTCACTTAATAACATCCTCCACACTATTTACTTTAACTTCCTGCAAACCGGTCCAATAAATATTGCCTTTAGAATCTTCACGAATTGTAACTGGTGGTCTTTCTTCTTCTTCACCTTGTCCAAGAAGATCAATTAAATCTTCATTATGTATTTCAATAAATGAAACCTTAATAGTAAATTTCGATGTTTTGTATTGTTCGGATTTAATTTTTTCAAATAATGCTGACATTGTACGAGGAACAATTCCTTGCGATTTATTTGGAACGGACGCTTCATCTGATGTTCCCATTGTGTACGTCTTTCCAGAAGAAGTTTGACCGTATGCTAAGATTGTTACATTATAACCTAATAATGAATGAATGAGGAATAATGAATAATATTAGATAATATATTTTGATGATGACATAATTGTAATGATTACATATCAATTTGTTCACACTGTTCACGTTTTTGTTCATTGTCATAGTTTTTGCTCATTGTCATAGTTTTTGCAGATCATACCTTCGAGAAATTTCCCGAGTAAATTCGTTACTGATTTATTATAAACATCTTCCTGCGATGCCTCGGGTCCAAACACATAATCATACTGGATATTAAAAAAAACAGATAGATAGATAGAGATATAGATATAGATAAAAATAGAATGTAGAATTTGACATCGTAATAAAGAAACCTAAATTTCATACCTGAAAAATTGGTCTTTTTTCGTTTTCGACTATAACCTGACCGGGAGTATATGAAGTTGTTATGACCTGACGTTGAAATCGACTTGGTAATTTCTCTATATCTTCAGCCGTAAGTGGCTTAATTCGAAGCGCTTTTTAAATAATGAAGTTAATTTACGTCACATTTGAGAATTAAAATGAAAGATTAAAAATGAGAATAAAATTTGAAGTAAAACTAGAAATAAACCAAACTTACCAACTTGAACGGAAGTCGTTCCTAATCCTCCTTGAGAAGTCATGTTGATATGATGCAAATTATAAATTTATAAACAGCTATAATCACAAAGGAATAAATTACATATGGGAACAATTAAAAAATATTTCGTTTTTTAAGGTTTGCTTCCAAATTAAATTTTTGTGAACCGTTTTTTTGAATTTAACTATAAATCGTTAGTATCAAGGAATTTTTGGAAAGTTACAACAAAGATTTCACGAAGTCAAAACCAAAAAAAGAGAGAATATATTATATAATTAATAATTAAAAAAAAATGTAATTTGTTCACAATCCAAGTATTACAACAGTTATCAAACATTTAACGACAATTTAAAATCAATTTTAAAACATTCATACATTTGTTTGTAATTTTTTCCTTACTGCACTTTCTGCATTACTACATGTAATCTACCTGAGAAATACAATAGCAAATAATTTGTTTGAACAAGTTATATTCTATTTTAATACAGTTTTAATGTTTATCAAAAGAAAATAAAAGATATAATTTTTAACCTTTAAAAATCACATATGAAAAGTTTGTTTTGTCTAAAATAGGAAACAGATTTATTACTGATTGGGTTATTAATTAAAGTTACCAATTAAGTTTTACTAAAAGTTAATGATTAAGTTTATAAATGTTTGATAAAATGTAAATGTTTAAATTTCGATCATAAATAAAAATCTATCAATAAATAAAATAATTACACATTTGCAAAATGGATCTTTAATGTAGTGACGATGAAACAACTCCCCAAAGATCGCATCTGACCCTGGTCAAAATGGGATACAACATTTTTAGTGTTATCCTAAATAGTAAATATCATTTAGTGAGTAAATTCTTTAATTTATTTAATTAAACTAATAAAGTATTCCCAGTATTCCCTTATGATGGAGGGTTAAAATAAATAAATTTATTTTACTACTACTATTAAAATTTGTAATAAATAAATATATATATATACCATATACTGTACAAAGAGAACCATATTAAATAAATAAATAAAATAATTTTAACAAAAAAAATATTGATTTTTTTTTTTTCATATAATTTGAATAATAATTTTTTATTTTTTTTATTTTATTTTTTGGAATTCCGGGGAAAGTGACGACGGTATTACGTAATGATGCAACTTTAAATTAATTGATTTAATTCACCTAATTTTGTGATGGTGTAATGAGATTTAAATTTTTAAATGATAGACATAAATAATAATAGAAATATAAACAATAGAAATCACTTACCAATCACTTGATTAATTCTTTTTTCTTCTTTCGCTTCTTTAGATATTTGTTTCACAACATTTTTCACATCCAAAATTACTGCAGCTTCTTTAGCAGCTTGATTTTGAGTGATCTGCAATAACATATCATGTCATATATATATACATATGTATGGAATAAGTACATAGAATGAATTAAATTAATTAATTAATTAATTAAATAAAATTAAATAAAAATTAAATTACCAAAGTTCCCAAAGTTACAAGAGATCTATAAATGGTTTCAGAATCAGTTTCGGAATCAAGAAGCTTCAAAATAATAATAAATTAACAGATAAATAAATTAATAATTTAAATTAAAAAGAAATGAATAGTTTTTTTTTTTTTAATATTATACCTCGTTTAATGTTGCCATAATTTGAAGCATTACGTCCTCATCAGGATTTGTTTTAAATAAGACTGCAAAGCTTAAAAATAACAATAATAATAATAATAATAATAATAACAATAACAATAACAACAATAGAGTCAATCATTATTAAATTAATTGAATAATTTAATTAATTAATATAAAATTAATGAAATATTAATACTTTAGAAATACGGTTACTAAAGCGATACGAAGATTTTTATTAGTAGTTTGGTTCCATATTGGAGAGATCAAATCAACAATCTATGAAATAAAAAAAAAAAAAGTTAACATTATATTAAAGGTGAAATAATTCTCATATGTATTAATTTAAAACTTTTTTGTTTTATACCTTTGAGGATTCGTGCCTTAAAACATTATTGCCTTCTTTAATTTCAAATAAATTCACGAACGCTCTTAGACCCAACATCGTATTGATTTCTTGTTCTTTAGTAGGTTTACTATCTTTTGACCATGAATTAATATTAGCGGAATTGATTATAAAACGAACAATATTTCCACTGGAATCCTCATATTTTGCAGGAATTGGTGAATATAAAATAAGAAGTCTTAACAAGTCAATGCCTATAATATAAATTTTGATGCTATAAATTTAATGTTGTAAAATTATATTTTAGTCATTTAAAAAAAAAGTTGATATAATATTATTTACCAGGAAAACGATTGCTAGGTAACCATTGAGTAGATATTTTACGAATTGTATTAAATCCAGATTGATGATTTAACATTAATGAAGGGTTTTGCAAAAATTTGCTCAAATTTTGCAAACTATTTAATTCTTCTGATGTTAAAACAATATCATTTGTCGGATCCTTCTCTTGTAAATCTTTGTTAATTTGATTTATTTTATTTAAAATATTTTGTAAATTTGCTCCACGAAAACTAAGATAAGACCGCTATTTTTTTTTTTTTAAAAAAAAAAAAGAAATTATATATTAATTTATGAGGTAAATTTAATTATGTTAAAGAATCAATGAAAGATAATAATCATGCCTGAGGCAAAATCTTAGAAACGCTTGACGTCGTTGACGTTGTTGGTGTTGGTGCTGGTCGTGTCCAAGGATCAATACCAGTAGCTAGTGTACTCTATTAAATAAAAAAAAATTTTAAATCCGAATTTTTTTTTTTTTCAAAATTTTAAAGTTTACTCACGGAAGAAGAAGGTTGTGAATGAGCACTAGTATTACTTGTAGATCCACCGGGAGTGTATCTATCAGTTCCTGAAAAATAAATAAAATCAGAATAGTTTGTTTCCGAACAAATATATATTCAAATGTGCAAGTAGCTTTCATAAATGTACCAGTAAATGGATCTGAATATTGAGGCCCCGATCCAAGAGAGAACCCTCCCGCATTTTTTGTGATGAAATCAGCAATTTGATCTAAATAATCTTGCGGAAGTTCATTAGCCCATATAAATTGTTGGGCAGCATTATATGGATTATCTGAAAAAAAAAAGATTTAATGAAGATAGATTTTATCATATAATCTTGAAAAATCATTAATTATTCGAAGGAAGTTAATAACCTGTGACATTATATGGCAATTTCAAAGGGGGAACACCATCTCCTATATCAACATCAAATATGTAATCATATTCTTTCCCATTAAAGATTTTTTTCTTGCCTTGACCAACAGCGTCAACAACGTCACCAATTTTATTCCATGTAGAATCACTGTTACTCCACTTAAATTTTAAAAGTTATAAAAATTTTACTATGAAGAAAACTAAATATGAAAATTTTAACATTCATTAATTATATAGGCGAATTTCTCACTTGATGTGCTTCGACGCTGTCACCAATGCGAACCATTATCACTTGTCCATCCTTTTTTCCTTATCACAGTAAAAATTAATTATATTATTTTTTAAAAATATAAATATAAATAAATATATATATATTTGTAAATCAAAGTCAAAACAATAAATCTTACCTGGTATATCAAGTGCCTCCGGTCCTGGAAGTTCGTCCTTCTTTATATCTCCAATTTGATTGCTTAAAGAACATAGCTTATATAAGTAAACATTTCTGATATCCATTTTATAAAAATTTGTTGTGTACATACGCTGGAATCGCGTGCTGAGAAACTTGATTTTCAAAATCCTAAATTTTTATCAGAACAAAAAATATATATAAATTTGAATATATATATATATATATATATATAAAATCAATTACCTTCAAAACATTCTGTTCTGCAACTCGTTCCGGAGATCTTGTAAATATACGTACAACCCCATCACTTGAACCACTTATAATGTCTCCATTTGGCATTGTATCGACACACCATACTGATGTGGCAGGATGGAAAATTGTTTGTATACATTGACCATCTTATAATACGGGAAATTATTAATTATTATTAAAGAATTTAAATATGTAACGATAATATTATCAATTAGTTGTAAATTATATATAAAAATAAAAATTACCTTTCCAAACTCTCACGGATCGATCTTCACCACCCGAAATAATTTCACCAGTGGGTAAAATACTGAGAGAATATATAAATTGTGTATGTTGATCACTCAATTCTTGAACACATTGCCCTTCCAAAGTCCATATACGAATTGTTCTGATTTTTTTTTTTTAATGTAATTTATTATTATTATTCTTTTGTTAAAATTCAATTCAATTCAATTCAAAAAAAAAAAAAACTTGAAAAAATTATACCTATCATTTCCGCAAGATGCAAAACCTATATTTGGTAACAAAACCAAATCTCTTACACAATCTGTATGACCTTTCAAAGTTTGGACCCGTCTTCCGTTTTCCCATTTTATAATAGTTTTATCAGCCGATCCTGTTAAAATCAAAAAAAAATTTTTTTAATAAAAAAAAAAAATCAAATAATCGAATTTTTCGACATTTTTTTTTTTTCATTTACATTACCAGTAAATATCAAATTGTCATTTACTGACATCACAGACCACACAGCCTGTGAATGACCTGTCAAGGTATAAGATTCCATCCAAGATTTCCATATCTTTGCTGTTCTAATAAGTCATGGGTTATAAATTATGATAAATCTTTATTTATTTAAAGATAGAAAAAAAAACGAGACATACTTGTCCCACGAACCAGAAACGATAAAACCGGAAGGAGTAACATCTAAAGAACAGACATTTCCTGTATGACCTATCAACGTTCGGATAGGTTCATGAGAAGCTTCAATATCGAAAACATTAATCGTTTTATCATTACTACCACTAATTATAAGACCTAAATAACAATCAAATGAAATAATGAAAATAAGATGACATTTTATTTAATCAAGAGAAAAAATCGAATCGAATTGATAATAGAATTTAAGTTAAGAATTCAATTTATTAACCAGAGGGATACTCCGCGTTTGGAGGTAGATAAGCAACGGAGTTCACAAATTCGTTGTGGCCTAAAAATGTTTTACTTTCAGTAAAGTCATTCGATGAAATTCTGGTCCACAAACGAACGGTTCTATCACGAGAGGAGGTTACAACGAAGTCATTACTTGGACTACGTAAAGCCTTAACCTGAAAAAAGTTTAAATGATTTAAATAAAAATCCATACATTTATTTATATATATATATATATAAGAAACCTAGGTCCTTACGTCTGATTCGTGACCTGACAAAATAGCAGATAATTTAAAAGTAGACATTTTTTTTTTTTTAACTTTAAAGAAATATTCTTTTAAGTTCGACTAATTTTTCAAGTCCTCAAATATTTTTTCCAAGTCATATGACTCTGATCACTTTATCAGGATTTTTTTCAGATTTTTTTTTTTTTTTTTTTTTTTTACAATTTTGAAGTATAAAAGTATAATTCATAATGACACAACGACTAACTTATAGACGTCGTTTAAGTTACAATACCAGATCTAATAGAGTCAAAGTGATTAAGACTCCTGGTACGTTTTAGATTGACTTATTTTAAAACTCTAATTACCGGGACATTAAAAAATATATATTTCTCGGTTTTTTTTTGCATTATATCGTTTATAACGATTTGTGGGTTTATACTTTTCTTAGGTGGTCGCCTTACTTGGCAATATGACAAAAAACCTGCTAAAGGTCCTCGCTGTGGTGATTGTGGGACTAGATTACCAGGAGTACGTATAAAATTGTTATTTAAATCAAAAAAATATAGATAGATAGATAGATAGATAGATATTAAGTGTAATCATTATCAATCGCTTAACCGATTTTTTTCAATCAAAAAGATTCCGGCCCTTCGACCACGTCAATATAGTCAAATTTCAAGGCGTCAAAAATCAGTACAACGAGCTTACGGTGGGAGCAGATGTTCTAAATGTGTGAGAGATCGGTACGTTTAACCTTATTAAATTCGATGATAGATTTTTGATATATAGATAGAGAGAGATATATATTAACATTTTTTATTTATGGAATAAAATAGTATTGTTCGAGCCTTTCTTATTGAAGAACAAAAGATTGTTAAAAAAGTCCTTAAGGCTCAAAATAATAAGCCATCAGGCAAAAAATAAAAAACGCGATGTATTATTACTATAATAGAATATCTCAAATAATTTTTTGTTATTATTAATAATAAAGACTCCCAAATGGACTATTATTTATGTTCTGAAAATGTGAATTAATATAAAAAGTGATCTCTTTTTTATATTTTATATAAATATATTTACATAAAAAAAGTTAAACAATAAAAAAAATTTACGTGAAAAAAAATTTTTTACACAATTAAAGATACGGAAATAAATTTTATTAAAGTTTAGAAATATCCAACTCGAAAATTTTAAAAAAAAAAAAATAATAATACACAAATGCAGACCATTATTCAGTTGAATTAGGATTATAATAAATTTTATGATTTACCGGTTACAAATGGATGCATTAGTGCCTCTCTCACTGTTAACCGTTTTTCAGGATTTAAACTTAAACACTTATCCAACAAATCAACAAAGCTTGTTAGAAGTCGCAATTCTTCTTCATTCATATTCGAAGTTTTTGAAAGGAGGCGTGTTTTCAGATCACGAGCGGGTTTGGTAATTACCATAGATTTAATAACCTCCTAAAAAAAAATAGCAGCATAAATAAAAAGAAATGTTTCACCTTATCATTATTATAATTTTCTTTAAAAAAGTTGAATATATAATAAAATTAAAGATTTACCAACCTTATTACTTATACGATCCATTTCATGATATAAGAAATTAAAATCATCATCAAAATGTTGTTTTGTGAATTGCCCTTTGCGAAGGGTTTTGTTGGAAAACTTGCCTTTAAGTTCCATCATAAGTTTCAACATTTGATTGTTACTTCTACCTGGAAAGAGAATTTTACCCGTATAAAGTTCATAAAGAGTACACCCCACCGACCACATATCTAGTGCAAAGTCGTAAGGTAACCCAAGAACTAAATTATGAAAATAAAGGAAAATAAATCACGTTATTTTTATAATTCACTTTATCATAGTGTAAAAAAAATGAAAAAAAAATAAAAATAAAGAGTGAATCAACTTACTGATTTCAGGAGCTCGATAAAATCTACTGACTAAATAAGGAGTAATATCATTTTCTGAAGCATCAGATGCAGAACCAAGATCACACATCTTTAGGGTGTTCTTGGATTCACTTACCTATCAAACCCAAATCCACCGCCGAGAATGTTTTAATATTATTTATAATAAAAAAAAAGAAAAAAGAAAAAGAAAACAAGAAACTTTAAATTAATAGAACTTACCAATATATTATCGGGTTTAATGTCGGCATGCAATACATTGCATTTTGTCAATAGTGATAAGGACAAAAAGAGTTGTTGAGCATATATACGAACTGCTTTTATGTTTATGCCAACATCCTTACCAAATTTTTTCAATACCTCACGTAAATTCATACTTCAATTATGAAAAAAAAAATAAAAGTATTTAATTAGTTTTAATTAAAGGAATTAAATTAAAGGAATTAAAGGAGAATAATAATAATAATAATAATAATAATAAATATTTAAGAAATTATAATTTATAAAAATTTTACCTTAATGATTCGAATACCAAACATAAATGTCCTTTATGTTCAAAATGTCTAAATAATCGTATCACATGTTTTTTATTATCCGGATCAGCTGTTGTAAGTTTCTTAAGTATATTTAATTCCTTCATACCAGCTCGGTGCCTAAATATTAATTTATATAAATATAAATATATATTATGTTTATATTTATTCATTAATTATTTTATTAATTTTACTCACATAGTTTCATTATTTCTTATAATTTTTATGGCTACATCCTCTTCTTCTTTGGTATCTTTCGCTTTAACAACGGAACTAAAAACCCCTTTACCAAGGTGACTATATACATGATAACGACTGTCAAGTATTTCTCCCAATAAAACTCCTATAACAAATAAAGTTTGATTATAATAAATTGTAATAAATTGTAATCAAAAAAGTTATAATAAAGTCCTCGATACATACGATAATATCCTTCAGCGTCATCATAATTATCCACAAGACCAGTAGCATGTTCGTGCACAACAACCGGTACGTTTTTCATAGCCTTATTAAATAATTTAAAATAATTTAATTTTAAAATATTTAAATAATTTAAATAATTTTAAATAATAGAAATTAAAAAAATAAAAATTAAAACAATTAATTAAAAATAAATTAAATTAAAATAAATTAATTAATTAATTAAAACTTACTGATAAAGATTTGGCAGATTTTTTCGTTTCTGGTGAAGGAGCAAATATATCATCATCTGCAAACATGTCAAACTCATCATTTACTTTAAAATTATTATTATTATTATTATTATTATTATTATTATTATTATTATTATTGTTATTGTTATTGTTGTTGTTGTTGTTGTTACTATTATTATGATGTTGATGAATTCCATTGTGTTCATTTAAGGTTTCCTTATAATCTGCTGCGTACATATCAGAACCGTTCTCACCATCACGTTGAATAATAGGTTCTTGAGCATCTTTGGTTTTAAGAAGTTCTAAATCTTTAGCAGATTTATGATGCAATTGTCTTTCATCATCAGCAATACGATCTTTGGTTGGATCATAATCTGCTGCAGAGAATCCAGGTTCTCCAGGTACGAAATCTTCAATAGATGCTACAACTTTTGTTAGAGAGAATGAATTCGGAGAAAGCGTTGTTGGACTAAAGGGTGTAATTATTGTTGGTGTTTCCGATGAAAAGTTTTCTTTTAATTTTATTAAATAAAATTTTAAATAATAATATATTTTAAAATTCTGTACGTTAGCATGATGTTAGGATTAAAAAAGAAAAAGTTACTTTTGTGAATTTTCGTGAATTTTTTAAAAAAATATTAACCTATTAGCTCTGACTTTTGTTCAATTATTTCCATTGCTATCGGTGCCGAAGAAGTATTAGTGGATGAATGAATTTCATTGTTTTTATTTTTATATTTTTCTAAAATTGCATTACGACGTTTACGTCTTTCCTCGATTAATTTATCTTCTTCATCCATACGTTCCAGAATAATCTCCGAGGTTTCTTCTGTAATTTTTTTATCATTTTCAAATTGGAATCTGATATTTTGATTCCTAAAAAATTAGAAATAATAAAAATAAAAATAATAATAAAAATAATAATTAAAATGAATAAAATAATAATAATAAAAAAAAAAATACAACTTTTATAAAGAATAATTACCTGACATTTATGGTATTGGTTCCAGTAGGAACGGAATTATCTAATTCATATTCAATTATCCTTCTAGAAAAATTCTTATCCTCACCATTTCTTCTATTTGAATCTCTCTGACTTCTTTCCTTTTCGTAACCACGATCAACACCGTATCCATCGTCCCTTTCTTTATTAAAGCCGCCTTCTCTTTCATAACCTCTGTTATGTACGTAGCGATGATCTCGATCGTCATAACGATTTCGAGGATCTTTGTTTCGTTGGTTTACGCTGTGGCGTCGTTCACTATGATGAGGAGAAGAACGGTGACGGGAAGGAGAATGACGACGACGAGAAGATGAGTGATGGTATTTATCATCGTCAGAAGAAAATTCTTCTCTACTGCGTTTAGATTTACGGGAAGATGCAGCAGAAGGTTCAATACGATTCGCGGATACATCGCTACGAGTTTCGTCGTCATCGACGACCATATGGTCGGTCGAGTTTAAGTTGTTACCTAAACCGTCCTTCCTATGTTTTTCTCCTTCTTCTTGTCCATTTTTTCTTTCGGAATCACGACGACTATGATGGTTATGGTGATTGCGATCGCGTTCGTGATGATGACGATGACTATGTGTATGTTTACTAGAAGTGTGTCGATGTTTGCGATCTTCTCTATGCTTGCGATCCCTTTCACTGTGGACGCTTTTATTAGCTTCAACCGCAGAATCACCTTCACGACTTCCGGCACTGTGTCTACGTTCTTTTTCTAAATCTTCGGTAGTTTGACTCTCAGGTGAACGTTGGCCTGGACCTGAAGAAGCGGCTAGTCCATTGGTAACTTCCTTATTATTTTTTTTGCTTTTGTCCTCCTCTTCACTATCAAAAGTTCCAGAATCATCCACTATCTCACCTTCTTCTGTTTCTGACAATGTTGGTTTAGTATCCATTAAAATCATTTTTTTTTATTTAACAAATTTAAAACAGATTAAACAGAATCGGGAGAAAAGATTAAAAAAAAAACAAACAGAATTTGGTAGAGAGTATCCGAAACATATACAACTGATATTATAAGTGACGAAGATCAATGAAAACCTTAAAAAAAAAATTTTTTATTCTACAGGTTTTTTTTTTGCTTCAAATAATTAATTTTTTATCATAGATTTCGAAAAAATTATGGGATGTTAATCTATATTTATACATAAAAATTCAGTAGTTGACGCAGTATTTATAATAGTAACCTACGATAATAATAATAATAATACAATTTAGAACAATATTTAATAAATTATGTTTTTTAGCGAAACCTTGTTACAGGAACCTTCTAACAAACAAACTGAAGAAAAAAATTGGACGGAAGTTGCTTCACCTTCTCGCTTTAAATCACGAAAAAGCAAACATCCCCGAAAAAAGCAACGTACAAACTCTCAAGAATATGATCTATTGGTTTTTGGTTATGAAGCGAAAACTTTCCGTGACGACGACATGTCAAAAAAAGTTAACGATGGTGAATTACTTATAAGTTGGAGAGGTGAAACAGAGAATAAAATATTGCTTGATAGGTAAGCCATTAGAAAAAAAAAAAAAAATTTAATAATTGAGATAAAAAAAAAAAAAAAAGCTGATATAAATGAAAATAGTGTAGGTCAACAACTTTTTACTGCATAAAAAACTTTGATTATCTTTTTTACTTTCTTTTGTTTTAATAGTATAAAGGTTTCTATGTTTTTGATAACACTTTATTTATTAACGATTATTCCAAAGATATGATGTAAGAAATTTACTTGATGAACGGGAACAATTTCGAAAAGTGTCTTATACAATGTCAAAAAAGAATGAAGAAATTGAACAAGAAAAAATTATTGACGAAGAGCGTTGGAAAGATTTGGATTCTGAAGCTGAAGATTTATTTGAAATGTCGGAAGAAGAAAGATATGAATTTATAGGTTAATTTTTTTATCAACAAAATAATTTATTAATATAAAAAAACTCAAGAGTTTTAGATTTTTAATAATAAGTAATTATATTATGATGATGATGATATTATTATAGAAGAAAAGAAGAAAAGAAAAAGGGAGAAAGATGAAAATGAAGAAAATGAAGGATATAGTTATAATTATGATTATAATGAAGAATTTCAACCTTACGGTTTGTTCATCATAAAATTAAAAAAAAATATATTATTACAAATCAAAAGTAATGATTAATTTAATGATAATCTAATGTTTTCTATAAAAAAAAAAAAAAAAAAAAAATTTTTTTATAGAAGAGGTAGAAGAAGTTAGAAAAGTGAAATCACAATATGTTCCAAAGTATTCAGTTCCTTTAGGAATGGTGACGGTGAGAATAAAAATCTTTACAATGAATTTTATTTTTAACAAATTATTAAAGTTATTCGAATTATGAAGATTAGAAGATTCTAATCATTATTAAAATATTGAATTTGATAGCCTTTAGATAATCGTGTTGATGAGATTATTGAGCGCACTGCCAAATTTCTTAATGCTAGTACCGATCCTCAAATGGAAATTGTTATACAAGCTAAACAAGCCAATAATCCAAGTTTTTCATTTTTAAATAAAGAGGATCCACTTTACCCATACTACAGGCATGTAAGGGTTTTGTTACAAACTGGTCTTTTTGCATATGGCGATAATGAAGAAAATCGTAGATCTACGGATGGTGAAAAGGATAATAAAACAATTAATTTGACAGATGGAAAATTTGAAGGGAATAATTATAAAATTCAGGATGACTCAAAAATAGAAGAAAATAGTACACCAAGAGAAAAAAAAAATTCTTCTAGTATAAAGAGTAAAAAAATCCAACATGGAGCAATTATGTAAGTTATATATATATATTGACAATTATTAAAATTATTTTAAACATTATTTTTAACATTATTATTTAACATTTTTTAGAATACCTCCACCAGATCTTAAAGCCATTATTGATAAAATGTCTGCTTATGTAGCCAAAAATGGATTATCACTTGAAGCCAAAGTTAGAGAAAAACATATAGATGATCCACGTTTTAGTTTCTTACTTCCATGGAATGAGTTTCATCCTTATTATAAAAAAAAAATTCTGGAAGAAAAATCGACAAATAGTTTATTAGTTGAAGCTGATTCCACCAAGACGAATGACTCGTGATTCGTGATTGAAAATTATCAAATTTACATGAATGACATGAATGACATGAATATCAATTCGATTAATGTTAAATAAATGTAAAATATAAATACACACACATATATATATACATATTATACATACACAGTTAGAATTAATAAATAAATAATTTTCATTATTTAAAATAAATTATATATTGCATCATTTTTATTATACGTAATAAATGTAATAAAGTTATAATTAATTTCTAATAAAATTTGATATCTAATCATCTGATTAAAAAAAAAAAAAAGGATATACTTATGAATAAAGATAGCAGTCGATACCATAAAAATCCATAAGTAGAATCTTATTTTTTTAAAACCATCTTATTAGTTATGCACAAAATCCTTTTATATTGAGAACACCCATAAGACTTGAATAAAGGAAATGTGCCTTTCATTTATTCTGGATTAACCACTCATGATCAATCTCATGAAATATTCTAGCTTAATTATTAGACCCACTTGCAACATCACTTCCTAGTTGAGAATCTTCGGGATGAGTGTAATAAATCCCATGTAGATTTTGAGGATCGTTCTGATTCTTTAAATGTTCTGCATTAATTCTTTGATGAGATAATTGAGAAGATTCAGATACCGATCGATTTCTTATATTATTGTCGATAATTGTTGATTCAACAGATCTATCGCCTAATAATGGTTCAGTCTCTTCAACTATTGTCCTATCTACAATTTGTGTATTGGCTTTTTTATTCATACCCAATAATCGTCTGAAAAATCCCGGATTTTCTGGTTCATCTGGTATGGTTCCTTTAACTGGAAGCCATAGCCAAGGAAGTATTCCAACCAAAGCAGGTGGTCCATAATTTTGCATTCCAGTATTAAGCACACCCTTGTATAAAGTCATTGGTGGTTGACTATAATCGGTATATAAATCTGGTGCAGCGTGATATAGATCATCTTCCAAAACATCCGTAACATCTTCTTTTGAATTTGTTGGTAATATATTTTCTTCCTCCCTTAAACTTTGCAAAGGGACAAAAGCTGCAATTCGATCATATGCTGCATTAACATAATAATAATATATAGCTGTACAAACGAGAATAGGAACTAAACTGCCTGCCATAACGTAACATTTCCTCATGGATAAATATCCAATCATCAATGTTTGATATATATAAAGTCCAACAATGATTCTATGGAATATCTTTGGCCAGGCAAGACCACGCGTTGAATAAGGATGGAAATACACTAAAATAAAGATAATTAATAATAATAATAATAATAACAAATAATACATATGAGTGATACAAAAATATTATTTAAAATGATAATGTCAAATAAATACAATATTACATACCATATAATAATAAATATTTATATGTCAAATAACAAAGGAAGAAATAAATCGTGCCAAAAAGTATAATTATAGGTGTAATCGAGGAATAAACAATAGTTATAACAAATATCAAGATAATAGGTGGCAACTCTTCACCATAATCTAAGAATGGTGGTGAATTGGCTTCTGCGTATTCTCGAGGTGTTTTCGCAAAGAATACACGATTCGCCCATGCAACAATAATATCACCCATCTGCAACAAATGAACTGGAAGTAAACCAATTCCTTGAAAAACAACAAGGTTAACGAAAAAGTGAGCAACCTTTATTAAAAATATACATACATACATATATATATAGTGTATAAAATTTAATAAAGAATGATAATAAATTACATATCAGATTAATATTAATTTTAGTCTTACCCGAGGCAAGGTTGTCGCTAGCTTATATGGAAGCCCTGTTGGATCTATTATTATATCTCCAAGTGTATTAATAATAGTTCCTCCAATAGTGAATACCAAAAGATAATTTACCAATAAGAAAAGAAAGTGTCTAATCAAAAACAAAAAACAAATAATATTAATCATTTAAACAATTTATACACAATTTATAAACAATTTATATAATTTATATAATTTATATAATTTATACATACTTGGAAAATGCTGAAAATTCAATCGTACTACGAGCATGAAATCCTTGAAGCCTAGCGAAATCTTTAAAAAATTTAGTTATTGCAAAATTATAACTTAAATTTTTTGATTCTTCATATTAAAAATAAATAATTATTACGAATACCCACACTTCATAATTTTTGGAACTATTTCAAAAAATATTGTTACCGCTAAAGTTGGAAGTGTTCCTTGAATAAAAGCTTGCAATATTTCATTTTGTTCCGCCAATCTTTTTAACCAAGGAAATACTTTTTCTAAAGTATCCATATCTAACAAAGTTGAAACGTATAAAATAGGAATTGACCAGAAAAAGACTATAAGAACAATTGAAATATTAACTATAATGCTACGAGTTAACATTTCTCGTTGTCGAATAGAAAGATTATGCCAATATCTAAAAAATATAAAAAAATTGTTATCAATCATAATATTAAAAATCATATTAAAAATCATATTAACTAAAATATCAACTTATGTTATTCTCTTTATAACTTACACATCACGTGGCCCAGGTGCAAGAACGGTAGTACATTTGAATGGTCTAGGGTTTATTAGAACTTGTGAAGCCAATTGCTATAAATTAAAGTTTAAAATTTATTCAATAAATTTATAAATTTAAAATAAATTATAATTATAATAATTATTATTATTTTAATTACCGCACTGGTCATATTTTTAAAGGTCACAAACCCAACTGAAGTCGGAGTATATGCTCCACGTCTACCTTTTTCCGTTAACTTATCAAAGAATTTAAAACGACTAGCGAAATAATTAATTTTATCAACTTTCTTTCCAAATATGTGGAGAAAACCTGTTCGTATGGTTGGACGTTCTCTTGAAACTTCAGGAAGAAAAGACCAAACTTCATCGTTAGCATCTTCCTCTTGTTCAAATTCTTTAAGAGATTTATCAGGGTCATAATTCGGATCCACGCATGGATTATTCAAATAATCTGCACATGCGCTTTCCAATTTTTTCAAATAATGTGTTCTTCTTTCAATTGCGTGCCTTAATTTTCTTACAAGTCTGTATACAACCGCACTTTCAACCGGACCTAACCCTAACGATTCGTAATATTCTGATAATTTTTTACCATTTTGTAACTCTTTTGGGATAACTGTCACCATTACGGATCTCGCGGTAATTGAATTCTTAAATTTACGATAATATAAATGACGAAATTTCGCAAATTCTTGATAGTTATAAAATGTAAAATAAAATGTTGCTAACGTGAATACCCAAGTGAATAATAGATATGATAATAATAACCCAAATGATTCGGGTGTTTCATTCTCGGGAGTATTATCGTAGATATTTCCAAAGGTATCATTGCCAGGTTCACCATTATCGGGATCACCAATACCAGGGAAATAGTTATGAATCTTAATTGGAAAAAGGACAACTAGAGCAAATAAACCACAAAATGCGAAAAGCTTGTATGCCATTCTAAAGAATCCCAAAAGCTGTATGAAAGAATTATAAGAAAAAACTAATTAATGAAAAATAAAGGAGATATATATATATATATATATATTTGAATTTGAATTATAAATTAATTTTTAGTATTATTTACCACAACAGCATCTAGACCCACTTTATCTAAAATTTCAGATTCTGGAAGTTTGAATAAAGGGACAATCCAACCGAAAAATGAAGGATCTAAAGGTTTAGGAGAAATCCTTTGAAAATAATAATAAATTGGTTAATAAACTTTTTTTTTTAAAAAAGTTCTATATATATTTCAATATTTGTTAGTTACCCAGCAAGTCTACTTCGTGGAGCAAATATGACCTTCCATCGAGTTCGAAGAAAACAAAATAAAAGAAACGAAGATATGCCCGTCGCGGAGGCAGTCACAAGTTGGGTTGTCAAAAGTAAAGTTTTGCCTATATATATAACAAGTACAACAAGTCCAGACGTCAAATTAACGTTTTTAAAAAAACTTTATGAAACAATTAATTTACTTACTCGCATTATCGACAGTATCACCAGGAACTTGTCTATTGAAATCCATCGTTTAACAAAAACTTTAAATTTAAAAACCTGTAAATTTGATAAATTTGATTTAATTAAATAGATTATCAAGATCATCAAGATCCGCAAGATCATCAAGATCATCATCAAAATTAGATTTTTAACCAATTAAATAATTTTCCTAGTAAATATAATAATGGTTTATTCTCAACGAAGAAATTATAATTCCTATGAAAATAAAAGTTTGCATTTCTCAATTCAATTGTTAAGCATTATTCGTCCGTTTTAATTACCTTTTTTTTTTTTAATTTAATCTAATTTAATTATTTTTTCATGATTATAAATAAATATAAAATTAGAGAAAACAATCAAAAGAAAAATTGTTCATAAAATCAAATTAAAAAAAGATTTTTATAAAACTTTATCCAAAGAAGGATCAAATTTAAAAACTCCCGATTTTTATCAAGGGGTAATTATATCATATTAAAATCAACTCTTTCGTTATCTTTCGTTATTAATGTTCAATTTATAATATACGCATATTATTCATATTATCCATATTATCTTATAAGATATTTGAAAAAGAAGATCCTTTTGATAAAGAAGAAGAGAATGGCAAAAATAATGACAATGATACGTTAGATGGAAGAGAGATAGACATAGATACTTCCATGAAAAAGAAAAATAATCGAAAGGTTCATAATCTTTTAATACTTGTGTCAGATTTTTATTTCCTATTTAATCTAACATATGTTTCTATTAATTTCTTTTTGTAGAACAATAATAAAATTAATCAAAAGTGATGACAAATTTTTTAATTCTTTTAATATTTTTTTTTTTTTTTGGTTTAATTATTAAATTTTAAATTACTTTTAATATTTCATTTGATTTTTTAAATTCATTTCAAATTTACAGATTTAAACCAAATCCATTTCATAAAGCTTTACATGAAAGAGAACGTAAAAAGCTTGACAATCAGGCCAAAGTGGAGGTTAATTATCGTATAATTTTCTTTCTTTAAATTAAATCAAAATCATAAAACTAAAAAATTATTCATAATACAAATAATAATCGTATTCGTAGGCAGCGGAAAAAGAAAGGAGATTGCGAAATCAGGAAAAAGAAAAATATCATTTTCAGAGGAAACATAACCAAAAAAAATTTATGAAGCGTAATTCCAAGGGACAACCTCTAATGAAAACACGAATTGATCATCTTTTGGCTAAAATAAAAGAGCAGAAATAACAAAAAAAAAAGAATTACTTAAAGATTCCATTTTTGTGTTTGATAAATCCATTGTCAAAGATTTGCACTATTAGACTATTAGCATATTTACTTTTTTATTTAAAAAAAAAATAATAATAATAAAGTTGTGAGATTTTATCTCAATAATTCCTTTTCTCGTCTTCATAATGGTCTTACAGATAAATTGTATGATTATTTCGATAACTACTTTTCATTGGGTTCGCCTTGTTGAGAGGAATCGAATGTTATTTTATTATTTTGTTTTAATATTGTCGAAAATCGATCAGGTACTTTCTATTGTTTAGCATGTTTGGTATTTTTGGTGTCCTTTTGTATCTTTTCTGATGAATTAATTATACCCCTTTCTCTTTCCCTCTTTACCCTTTCCCTTTCAGAAATGTCACTAAAAATTATTACTACGCCCTCCCTCGAGAATTCATATTCTGTACGACATTGTAATTTTTGATCTGATTCTTACTTAAAATTAATCGGCCAATCATATTATAATTCAAAAAATTTTTTTTTTCAAGAATCTTTAAATAATGATTGATGATTCTTGACAAAAATTGTACTTTAAAAAATAAATGCTGTCAATATTACTAACACGAAAAAACATTTTTCACCTTAAAAAAAAGGTATTTCGATATATAATTTTAGATTATCTTCCAAAGCATTGTTAACCATATAAAAATTGTTTAAAATAAATTGTTAAGGCAACAACGACGTTGACCTTACAAATACTTTCTTTACGAGTTAAACCTTATACTGCACAAGCACATGGAGCTGTATCAACAGTTTCTCCTTCAGTTCCTCCTTCAGTTCCTCCTTCAGTTCCTTCAGTTCCTTCAGTTGTTTCGTCCGAAATTCAGAATATGAGACCACCGCTAAACCTTGAAACTTCTAATCCTTTAGTGATACTTCCTCAACCTGTTCCAATAACTAAAGAAAACGAAAAACTTCTTCCAAACATTTTTTCGGAAAATCTTGCTGTTTTACATGCTTGTTTAAAGTTAGGAAATATCGACCGTGCAAAAAAAATTTTAAGGGCTTTATATGTTTCAAGTCCAAGTGAAATGATTCATCACCTAGATATCAATGTACATAACGCATTCATAGAAGCTTTCGTTGATGCCCCTAAACCAGATCTTGATTCGGCTTTACATTGGTTAGATTATTTGGATCGATTTGGTCTGAAACCCAATGTTATGACATTTTCGATTTTAATTCGAGGATATTTAAGGTTTAATTTTGATTAATTGAAAAGAAACCAAATTAATATATTTAATTTAATATAATCTATATGAATTTTAATATAATCTTATATGAATTATATGAATTAAAATAAGTTGTATATATTTAAAACATCGATTGTAGATCACGATCGGAATTTAAATGTTCAACATTATTAAAGGTTTTAGTTCATGAAATGGAAGCGATTGGTCATACAGTTGATCAATTAATGAAAAGCCATTTAATGACAGATAAAGAAGTAAAAGAAATTTTTGAGGTAAAGATTATCTAAAACCGTCTGATTCCTTTTTCTTATTTCCATTTCTTTTTTTTTCAAAAATTATCCTTATAATATTTAAATTTTATAATATTAAAGTTTTATTTAAATCTGGAAAAAAACCTAGACCTTGAGATCAGAGAAAGATTCAGATCCCGACTCTCGCCAACTTTTAGAGAAATTAGAAAAGGCATATTTAAGGGAACAAAAAAGTATAAATGAAGATATCATCGGTGATCAATCTAAAATAGAAGAACCTATTACCGAATTAAATGAAACAATTTCTGGATCACAAAGTTCCACAAAAGTAGTAAGTACAATAAAAAAAAAAAAAAAAGATAGATAGATAGGATAATGTTACAATTGATTAATTAAAATTGTATGTATTACAATCTTACTTAACATCTTTTGTAAATATATTGATTTTTTGATTCGAATTTCACATTTTACCTGATTTATAATAGGCCATTGGTGTGAAACTTATGAAATCCGCATTAGAAGCTATTAAAGAAAATCATTTATCCGAATATGAACGTCAAGTGAGATTAGAAGAAAACGCGTTACATGCCGCAATAGAACGTTGGAAATATGAATATGAACAAATGAAAAAAGTAGGAAAGGCAAATACTGGAACTCCTAGTTTAAAAAAATCTATGTGGCTTTGGCATGAAAATTTATTTCCTATGATTCAAGTTGAATTGGACGCTTGCAAAGATCCTAAAAATAGAGGTTTTGAAAAAATCTTGATTCGTTATCATTAATATTTCATTTTTTTTCAAATTTAATTCCAGGATTTATTTAATTCATCGTTAAATTTTAAAATATAAAAGACACGGAACGAGCACATTATGGGCCATTCTTACAATTATTGAAAGCTGATGAGCTTTCTGCCATTACAATTATGGAAATAATGCGTCAAAATGGTACTGGTGGTGTCATAGATGGGATGAAGACCACTCGCGGGATAATGGCAATCGGTAAAGCTGTAGAAAGCGAATATAATGCGAAACATATAAAAAAGAAACAAAACCGTAAATTGGTATAAAATCTTTTTTTTACATATTTTAATTATATATGTAGAAAAAGATATATATATATAAATTATCAAATTTGTTTCATTATTGAATATAAATTTTATTTTCAAATAAATAAGTTCAATAAAGACTTGTCCCTTCAGGAACTTTTTTCCTCAGGAAAACTTTTCAACATGACTATTCGACGTGCTGCAGCAAAAATCGAACATGAAGATTTTGAAAAAGACTGGAAACCGGAATGGCCACCAGCAATTAGGGCGAAAGTGAGTCGAATTAAAAAAAAAAAAAAAAAAAATCTTTGAAATTCCCGAATTTTCATTAATAATTATTATTATTAAGGAGAGATCTTCTTTATTTTTTTTTTTTTATAGGTTGGTTCCGTGTTGGCGGCATTGTTAATTGACACGGCTAAAATACAAGTTTCAACTATGGATGCTAACGGTAAAAGAATGTGAGTCTAAATCCATAATGTTACAAGGTTTTTTATTATTATAAAAATAAATACTATTATCAACTTTAGTACCGAAATGGCTCCCGCCTTTTTTCATTCCTATGAGTACAGTAAAGGAAAGAAAATCGGAGTTATTAAATTAAATCCTCAATTGATTAAATGGTTATCTAGTGAATCTATTAGGGAACATTTACATCCCCGTATGTTGCCAATGTTAATTCACCCAAAACCTTGGTTGACTTATAACAGTGGGGGATATTTGACGTCTCCAAGTACGCCGGATTTAGTTTTAATACTATATTTTCTTCACAAAATTCTGTTCTTTTGATTTTTTACATTCAATCGTAACTATATTCTCTATTAGCTCTTGCCATGAGGATAAAAGATTGTCCGGAGCAGATCTCATATCTAAAAAGAGCTTCTGAATTACATTACTTAGAACGAGTGTTTGCGGGATTAGATGTATTGGGATCCACTTGTTGGGCTGTGAATAAGAAAGTATATGAAGTTGTTTTAAAAATATGGAATAGTGGTGAAGGAAAAGTTGATATTCCTCCCGCTGAACTTAATATTGAAATGCCTGAAAAACCTGAAGATGAAACAGATCTTAAAGCAAGAAGCAAATGGGCAAAAGCATGTAGGGATATTAATCAAAAGATGCGTAATAATTATTCGCTTAGATGTTCGGTAAATTATCGAGTGGATATTGCCGGGGCTGTAAGTTTATAAAAAAATTTTTTCTCTTTCTCTAAAAATAAAAAAAAATAAATAAAAATAAAAAAAATATAATCATTTTTAATTATTTGATTATAATTATATTCTTATTAATGTTATTTTTTGAAATTTATTTATAGTACTTAAATGAGCCAATGTATTTTCCTCATAGTTTAGATTTCCGAGGTCGAGCATATCCAATACCATCACATTTTAATCATTTAGGAGATGATTTATGTCGTGGATTATTAATGTTTTGGGAAGCCAAAACTTTGGGAAAACCAGGATTAAAATGGTTAAAAATTCATTTAGCAAATTTGTATGGATTTGATAAAGCCGCATTTGAAGATCGAGAAAAGTTCGCAGAACAACATATTGATGATATAATGGATTCCGCGGATAATCCATTAGAAGGTAAACTTTGGTGGCAAGAAGCTGAGGATCCTTGGCAATGTTTGGCAGTTTGTTTTGAACTTACCGAAGCCATAAGATCAGGTGATCCGGAAGGTTTTAAATCAAGAATACCCGTACATCAGGATGGTACTTGTAATGGATTACAACATTACGCCGCACTTGGAGGTGACATGATTGGTGCTACTCAAGTGAATTTAGCTCCATCTGATAAACCATCTGATATATATACTGGAGTAGCAGAAAGAGTACAAAAAAAGATTGAAGAAGCAGCTGCTGAAGATGATGAGAAGGCTAAAATATTAAAAGGAAAAATTTCACGTAAAGTCGTAAAGCAAACTGTAATGACAAATGTATATGGTGTAACTTTCATTGGAGCTAAAATGCAAATTGAGGCACGTCTCAGAGAAATAGATGAAATACCTAAAGAAAGAATTTTAGAATTGGCCACTTATGCTACAAAACTTGTATTTAGTTGTTTGGGAGAAATGTTTAATGGTGCACGTGCAATTCAAAATTGGCTGAATGATAGTGCCAAATGGGTTTCTAAGAGTGTGCCATCAGAATTGGTACTAAAATCAGCCGATGAATTAGATGGTGAGGATATTGATCCCAATGAGAAAGATCCTTCAAAAAAATCAATCGTCAAGATTCAACCAAGTAAAGCTGGACCAAATCAAATGACGGCAGTTGTTTGGACGACCCCATTAGATTTACCCATTGTTCAACCATATCGAAAACAAACAAAGAGAGCAATTAAAACTAATCTTCAAACCATAAACATTGTAGATCCAGGAATTCCTAGTCCAGTGAATGGTATTAAACAACGCGCAGCATTCCCACCAAATTTTATTCATTCATTAGATGCAACTCATATGCTTATGACAGCTCTTGCGTGTAAAGAAAAAGGATTAACATTTGCGGCGGTACATGACAGTTATTGGGTTCACGCTTGTGATGTCGAAACGATGAATGAAGTTATTCGTGATCAATTCATTGAACTTCATGAACAACCTATTATGGAAAATCTTCGAAATGAATTTTTGGAACGATATAAGGGATACAAAGTTCCTGTTAGAGTTCTAAGAACGGAATTTAAGAAACTTAAAATGGAAAAGTTGGAAAATCTTAAACAAGGGAAGAAAGATGATGATGTTTCAGTAGAAATAACAGATAATGGATATGAAGATACACTTAGTTTGGATGAATTAACTAAAATTACACCAAATGAACCACCAAAGGAAGTTACTACGGAAGCATCTCTTTCATCTTCAAAAGGCACAAATTTAATGAATGAATATATTAGTGAATTAAAAGGTGGAGATAATCGATATTTAATAGACAATATAGATTTTGATAAGATACCAGATCAATTTCTTGCAGACGAAAATGAAATTATTAATTGTGATAATGAAGAAGGTAAAAAATCAAAATATCTTAATATTTGGGTAGACATAAATTTTTCAGAGGTACCAAAAAAGGGAGAGTTTAATGTGTCGCAAGTCAAGAAAAGTAAATATTTTTTCAATTAATAAAAGTTTAAAAATTCGTTAGAATAAACACTACTATTTAAATGTATTTTTTTTTTTTTTTGAAAATTATCGAAATTATCGACAAATGTATTTAGAAAATATATCAAATAATAATTTGTAGATGAATAATATTTAATCATTTATTGTAAATTTTTTTTTTAAATCAATAAAAGAAAAAAGAAAAAAAAAGAAAAAGAAAAAGTACTTATTAATATAAAATTTCCTTGTTGTAAAAAAGTTTCGTTTAATTAAAAAATGTTACTCTTTGACATTTTGATATATTTGATATATACAGTACAGTAACCAGTTTCATACCACTACTAAAAGAATAACCTTAATAATCAAATTTTAGGATCGCCAGAACATTGACCATCGCATTTGATCTCATATATTATAAGTGTTACAACTTTTATTTCCGAAAAATACTTGATTTTCATAAAGTTTTCTTTGATTGGTAAATGAAGATCATGAAGACTAATATATTCTTGAATTTCTCAATTAACACTTTAATATTACAATGACCTTCCAAATCCTATGAAAATTTACATTTCTTTTTTTTGATTAAATCTATTAAATCTATTAAATCTATTAAATCAAGTTTTTTTTTTTTTTTTTCACTTAATAACTTTAATGGTTGAGGCAATTGATTTAAGGTCTTAGAGGTTTATTAGGATTTTTAGTTTGCATGAATTTTCTTAAGTCAACATAAAGAAAAAGTATGCGGATTTACATTTTTTTAAAGATCATTAACTTATTTTGTCTCATCAAAGCAATGTAAAAGTTAGATAAATAAAGTAATGATATGATATTTTTTACGATCTATTGAATTTTTTTAAGATTTGTATAATATAATATAATGGTACGATATATCCTTCACATGATAAAAGATAATCGGCGATAACCAAAATTAGATTAATATTAGGTTTAAATGCAAATGTATGTGATATGATGCTATATCGATGTTGTACGGGGTAATACGGATGATATACTTAAGTTACCGAATTTATACTTTATGCTCAATGACTATATTACCCAATTCAGGGCAAGAAAATTTATGCATCAAGACGGGTTATGCTTATGTACAGTATATGCACAAGTTTTACAAGTTTTACAAATATTTCTTAATTCTTTGTGTTTATTTGTTTTTTTCTGTGAAATATTACACTCATTAAAATTCTCATTCTCTTCTCATTCTCACTCTAATCCTCCCCTAAAAAAGTTTAATTTATTTTTAATATTATTAGTATTATTTAACATTATCTATAATTATTACTTGATGTAGTAATAATTTAAGGCTGATTTTTTTGTGCAAATCAGAAAAAAATTTTTTTTTCTCAAATTGCGTTACGGATTTTTTTTTTTACTCACCCATACATTTTTTTTAATACTTTTATATCCTCAAGGCTGGGATTTTTTTTTTTTATATTACTTTACAATTTAACTTTGTTCGTTTATGTTAAACAATCCCTTCAAACTTCTTTAACTATAATCCCTTCTAACCATCTTTTAATTATCTTTTGATATTTTGTGTAAAAAAAATATTTAATTTTTCCTCAAAAAATTCTCCCCTTTTCGATAAATAGTTTAATTCTTTTTTTCAATTATTATATAATTTTTATTGTGTTATTTTTTTTATGTATTGGATGATTTTTTTGGTGATTTCAATATTTTTGAGTCCTTGATAATGTTTATTATAATATATATGTATATATATATATTATCATTATATTATTACATTAAATATATTTATATGTAATTAATATATTAAAATATATTTTTATATATTAAAATTATTAAAATGATGTAAATTTATGTTAGTTATGTATTTTCTATTTTCTTTATGTTCTTTATAATTTTTTTTTTTTTATATATTCATTATTGTTCTTTTAACTCATTCACGCGCTTCTATTTCTTTTTTGGATTAGCTTAATTTAACTCAAAAAAAATTTTTTTATGTCATAACCCACAAAAAAATTATTTGATTGCTTCACATTTGTCCTAATATATATTTTTATATATTTATATATCCATAAATACATAAATAAATAAATAAATAAAAATTAAAAAAAAAATCCTATTCTATAATGAATTTTGATATTTATATATAAATGCATCGCCCCTTTTTGAAATCATTAAGCCGATATACCTTTGAAAACGACCTTTTTCTTCTAAATTTTCATTTGGAGGAAAATATCTGTTTTGCTCCGTAGTGACAGAACTATATTAAAAAAAATATTAGGTTTTTTTTTTTTGTGTCAAATATCCTCTCCATTACTTTCCCACCAACCTTCCCCCAGACATTCACACGCTAATCACCAACAACAATATTTCTATTACTTACTAGTACTATTTCCAATATTGCCCAATATTGCCCAATATTATTAAATAAATATTATTTAATATTAGCAAATATTTATATATATATATATATATATATATATTATTATATTGTTATTTAATATTTATCTCCTTTGAAAAATATTGTCCCTAATTAATTAGTAAAACTGGAGTTACCTTAATTTTCTTTTATAAATGTACATATAACATATAAAAAAAAAAGAAAAGCCAGTTACCTTTCGTCCTTTAAATTTCAATTTATTTTGTTAATACAAAAAAGGTCTTTAAAAAAGGTCTTTTCAAATAGGGTTCTCGGTCTTCTTTTATCTACCGCAGTAATTCGTCCCGATTTAGTATCAATAAACCCTCCCTTTTGTATTCACCTCCCTTCCCTTACTCCACCCCCTTTTCACATTTTCTATCATGACAGTTTTAACCGAGAATTATTTCAATCCTGCTGATCGGATTGGTACATTCATCGATAATGGTAGATTGGAAATAACTCATATTCTAGGAGTTGGAGCTTATGGTGTGGTCTATGCTGCAAAACATGTTCTCACTCAACGCGTTTACGCTGTAAAGTGTATGCCAAAAATGAATATAGACGCTAGGCAACAAAGATTACACGCTACAGAGATTAGTTTACATGCTCAAGTTTCTGGTCATCCAAATGTCATTAATCTTGAAAAAGTTGTAGAAACTCAAGATACCATTTATATAATACTTGAATATTGTTGTGAAGGTGACCTATTTTCTATGATAACTGAAAAAGGTGGATATATAGGAAATGACCTCCTCATAAAACAGGTTTTCGTTCAAATTTTGGATGTTGTTCAATATTCTCATTATCACGGAATTTATCATCGTGATTTAAAACCTGAAAATATTTTGGTATTTGATGGAGGAAGGACAGTCAAACTTGCTGATTTCGGTTTGGCTACAACAGATATTTGGTCAAAGGATTTTGGGTGTGGTTCTACTTTTTATATGAGTCCAGGTAAATATTATTATTGATTTTTTTAAAAAATTTAAAATTAAAAAAAAAAAATTTGATGATCATTTTTATATTCTATATTTATATTATATATTACCATATTTATACTGCATACTGTCTATCATATTTATTAATTTATTATATTGTATACTTATTTTTATTTTTTTTTTTACAGAATGTCAAGGTGGTTTATATAAAAAAGTACGAGGATATACGACAGCATCAAATGATGTCTGGTCATTAGGTGTTATTTTAATTAATCTTACTTGTGGTCGTAATCCATGGAAGCAAGCTTGTCTTCGCGATGAAACATTTTCATGTTTTTTACGAGATCCCGAATTCTTAAAAACGATTCTTCCTTTATCTGATGAACTTTATGAAATATTAAAAGATATATTTAATCTCGATCCTGAGAAACGTATTTCATTAGATGAGCTTAGAGAACGTGTTTTGGAATGTCCTAAATTCACCAACACCATTTCTGATTATGTCTCTTATTATAAATCTTCACAACAAAAACAACATGATGTAGATGAGGATGAGGATGATGAAGATGATATTTGTATTGGTGATGATTATCTTCCTACTTCCCGAAAATTACAATCTCTGAATTCTTCCACAACTGCTTGCTCGTGGTGTTCTATGAATTCAGAAATGGATTTCTCCACACCACCTTCAGAATTTTTGGATGATTATGATCGTTGTTCGACTTCAACTGGTTCATCATCATCTTTATCAACATTAGCGACAAGTCAGCCTGATTTACTTAAATGTGATGATTCTAATTCAGGATTTGATTTAAAGTGGAGATTTAATTATGAAGAATCACCTTTTCCAAACTGATTACATATGTTAATATTTTAAACCAACATCTATCACGATCACATATATCTCACTTACATCATATATCACTTATATAAAATGTTTCATCTTTAAGAAAAAATTGAAAAAATTTGATTAATTAATTAATTTGGTTCTACAAAATATGAAAAAAAAAATTCACATTTATAATTTCGTTTATTTTTGTTCTTTTTTTTTTTAATAATATTTACCTTCTAAAAAAAACAAAAATTTTCATCGTTCGATCGATTAAAACATTTTTTTTTACAGACAATCGTATTATTTATATATCCAAAGTACTTCGCGTACTTAAAATTTCGTTAATTCGTTAATTCCATCCCTTTTTTTAATAAGCAATTTACCGTGCTAAAATTTAATTCGATTTCGACAATTTATAATTTTTTTTATAGTAATTTGGGATATTACAATTTTTTCCTTAAATAATAATTTTTCTTGTAAATAATTTTTTTTTTAAATTCTTGATTCGTAATCATATATACGAATGCGATTCAAGAAAAAGTTTTGAATTTTATTTCTGTATATAGAAAATTTTTGGGTTTAATATCTTTATCCTATTTTTAGTTTTTTTTTTTTTAAGATTTTTTTTTATCTCCAAACCACACATTAAACACAATCACAACACAAAACAAAAAAGTTTCGACAATTAACAACACAAACAAAACAAAATCAAATCAAAAACAAATCACAAACAAAACAAACAAAAATTTTTTGAAATAAATCAAATTTATTTACTTACTGGTTAAGTGTCATAAAAAAAAATAATTCATTTTTTGTTTCAAAAACATCACATAAGGCATTCACATTAACATATTTTCACAAAATTTTATATATAAATTTATATAAATATGCAACAATAAAAATACATAATCCGCTGCATAAAATAAATCGCACACAAACAAAAATGACTTTAATATTGAAAATAATGTTTTTTTTTCTAAATAATAAAATACAAGTGCAAATGACAGTAATTGTTGAAGAAATATTTCGTACTGATAATGATCATCTTTTTTTAAAATCTAGTTACATATATGCTTGTCATCCAATATGTCTAAATATATCTAAATATATCATGATAATTAATCTGTCTGTATATTTTTATTATCAAATTAATCTCAAAATTTTTATAAATTTTTTATAAAAAAGATAAAAAAAAAAAAGAAAGTTCGGATAAAAAGTCAGCCATCCAAAAATATTTTCAAAAAAAAAAGATGAATAAATAACAAATATCTTATATACTCTTTCCAACTCACTAACTAATTAAAGATTTCAAATATTCCTAAAGCAAATCCGATACATTCATGGGCATTTCATCTATTTGGGTACTGTAATACTGTTCAATATCGCGTAAAATTCTCACATCTTCTGAAGTGACAAAGTTAATAGCAACACCTATTTAAAAAAGATTATATATATATATTAATTTTATATATTAATTAATTTAAATATAAAATGTTTGTCGGTTGCTTTACCTTTTCTTCCGAAACGACCTGAACGACCTATACGATGAATATATAATTCACGATTGCTGGGAAGGTCATAATTTATGCTAAAAAAAATAACCTTTTGTTAATTAAATATTATTTTTTAATTTATTTAATTTATTTATATATTTAATAATTTCACTTACACTAATGAAACTTGTTGAACATCAATTCCGCGAGCCCAAACATCCGTAGTGATTAAAACGCGACTATATTGAAATTATTATGAAATTATTAATATCATGTATTTTGTAGTATTATAATTAATTAATCTAAAATTATTAATATTTTTTTGAACCTTGCGCCTTGACGGAACTCTTGCATAATCGCATCTCGTTCTTTTTGTGGCATATCTCCATGCATTGATGAAACTGTAAAATTAGCTTCTCGCATTTTTTCAGTTAACCAATCAACCTAGGAAAAAACAACAACATTGATTTAATAATATTGTAATTTTGATGTGAAATTAATGAAGTTTATAAAATTAATATCAATGGAAAATACCTTTCGACGTGTATTACAAAAAATAACTGCTTGTGTAATTGTCAACGTATCATATAAATCGCAAAGGGTATCAAACTTCCAATCTTCCTTCTCAACAGCTACGAAGAATTGTTTGATTCCTTCCAATGTCAATTCATCACGTTTAACTAATATACGAATCGGTTCAGTCATAAACTTTGTAGTCATTTCGAGAACATCATATGGTAATGTAGCACTTAATAAAATAACTTGTGTATTAGGTGGAAGGTAACGATAAACATCATATATTTGATCTTTGAATCCCTTATTAAGTAATTCATCGGCTTCATCTAATACAAGCATTTTTATATGTCGAGTTCGTAAATTACGACGTCGAATCATATCAAAAACTCGACCAGGTGTTCCTGATACAACGTGTTGTCCATAATCTAACTTTCGAATATCTTCTCCAATACTAGTACCTCCAATGCAGGCATGACATTGAACATTCATATAATCTCCAAGTGCTAAAATGACACTTTGTATTTGAGTGGCTAATTCTCTTGTCGGTGATAGAACAAGTGCTTGGGTTTCTCTGATCGTAGTATCTATACATTGAAGAATAGAAATCGAAAAGGTTGCTGTTTTACCAGTACCAGATTGTGCTTGCGCAATAACGTCGCGTCCCTTCATGATTGGAACAATCGCTCTTTGCTGAATTGCTGAAGGTTTTTCAAAATCTAAAATTTAAAATCATATTTTAAAGAAGAATATGTTAAAATATATTATGATTATGATTATTATATTATTATATCGTTCCAAATTGAAATTATATTTACTGTATGCATAGATTCCTCTTAAAAGATCTTCTTTCAGACCAATTGAGTCAAATGTGGGTACCCTTAAAGTAAAATAAATGAAATTAATAAAATTTTATAATTCCAAATAACAAATAAATCTACTTTATCACATAAATTTTCTTAAGGTCTAAACTTACACCTTAACATCCTCACTCGTTTCGAACACCAACTTTTCATCAGCTTTGCGATCAAACTAAAATATCAAATAAATAAATTTATAAGAACGAAGGAATCAAAAGAAAAAATAAAACTTTTACTTAAATTAAAAATACCTTATTAGCCATTCTTTAATGTTCAATAAAGATATATCGTTATATTAATTACAAAGAACAACTAACAGAAATAAAATTTGATTAAATTGAATCTCCTAAAAAAAAAAATAACTTCTATATCACATGACTTACAAGTTACGTGACGCAGTAGCCGATTACCTAATTTCTGATCGGTACTAATGATTGGTTGGATTAAAACTACTAAAATTTAGTGGAAGAAAAAATTTATTCAAAAATATATTTACCATGTATAATTTTACCTTAGACCGCCCGTTTGGAATTTACCTTAATGATTATTTGGACCCAGCTTACATTTATTTAACAGGAGATAAACCTCAGGAATTTAAATTTGTCGCAGGTGTTACTCCACTTTCTGCCATTAAAGAAGTTGTATTTGGTTGCATCATTTATCTCTCCTTGATATTTGGTGGTCAAAAACTTTTGGCTAATGAAAGAGCCATCAAAGCTAAATTGGTCTTTCAAGTTCACAATTTTTTGTTAACTATATGTTCAGCTGCATTATTAATACTTTATTTTGAACAATTGCTTCCCATCTACTGGCGAAATGGAATATTTTACTCCGTATGTGACAATAATGCCTGGACCCAAAGATTAGAATTATTATATTACTTAAATTATCTTATTAAATGGTGGGAACTTTTAGACACTATCTTCTTGGTGTTGAAAAAAAAAAAATTAGGTTGGTTATTATCGAGATTTTCGATATTCGTATTTTTTTTTTATTTAATTTTTTTGTCAAATATTTAGATATTTAAAATAACTTACATTACTTTATTCTCGATAATTTTAAAGAATTTTTACATGTTTATCATCATAGCATGACAATTATTTTATGTTATACCCAATTACGTGGAAGAACTTCAGTGGTAAAAATTCTATTTTTGTTTTTTTTTTGTACATTTGAAAAAGTTATTCATCACAATTAACGTTATTAAATTTCTAATGAATATAGTCATGGGTTCCTATAACTTTAAACCTAATAGTCCATGTTTTCATGTATTATTATTATTTCCGAACCGCCGGAGGCGCAAGAATTTGGTGGAAGAAATATTTGACGACTATGCAGATTACTCAATTTATAATTGATTTAGGTTTCGTTTACTTTTGTTCATATACCTATTTCACTTCCACATATTGGCCTTGGATGCCGAACTTTGGTTCATGCGCCGGTGAAGAAAATGCAGCCTTTTTCGGTTGTGGAATATTAAGTAGTTATTTACTTTTGTTCATCGGATTTTACCAGAAAACTTATAATGCTAGAAAACCATCGGTGAAAGAAAATAAAAAAGATTGATTTGATTTTTATTCACTAAATCCCATTTCAATTATTAAAAATAGATTTGTAATTTCACTGTACAACAAAAATTATTTATTTAATAAATTATAAAAGTTTCCAACTTTCCTTTTTATAAAATTTTTATATACAAAATCGTCAAAAAAAAAAAATTAAATTAACTGTTAACTTTTTGGTTTTTTGATCCTTTCCGATGAAAATGAGAATATAATTATTTCGAATTCTCTTTTTTCCTATGATGAGAATAATATTGGAAAGTGCGAAATAAAACACAGATAACCAAAAAAAAAAAAAAAAAAATTGATACATATATTTTATCCTTAATTGATTATTTCAAGTTATAATTTATGTTCGAAGTATTGCGAATTGCAAGTCGTCTGGACTACCTTATTAATTGAATTATCTCAGAGTCTGAAATAAAAGAAAAAAAACAATGTCTGCAACCCAATGAAAAAAAAGGTAAGTTCTAATTCACGAAATTTACAAATAATTTTGGTAAACAGAATTATTCATGATGCAGAGAAGTAATACTCTGAACCCAGGAAAATATCAAAACTTGTACTTAGAGATTATAATATATTTGAAGGGTTAAAAATATATAATTTTCATTTGGATTCGTATTGAATTTTTATTTTTAAATATTAATTTTTAAAGGGTCTATAATAAAATTTTTATTTTTCTATATAAATTAAATAAATATAATAAAATAAATAAATAATAAATAAATAAATAAATAAATAAATAAATAAATAAAACTATTACAAGAAAAATATTATAAATAATTTATAATGATACAGGATTAACTATTAACTTCTATTTCGGTTACTTCTTTAACAACAACAGCTGCTGATTTCTCTACTTCTACATTATCTTTATTATTATTATCGTTGTCATTATCTTTGTTATTATCATTATTATTATCGTTATTATTATTATCATTATTATTTTCTTTATCGTTATTATTATCATAATTATTATTATCGTAATTATCATTATCATTATTATTATTATTATTATATTTATTATTATTATTATGTTTATTATGAGATCCTTTATTTTCCATTTCCAAAATTTCTTTTTCAGCTTTTTCGATGTTTTCTTTAGTGACACGATCTTGATTCTCCACAAAATAATCCTTTTTTTCTTTTAATTCATTAATTGTTTTGTCCACATCAGAAACGTTAAGAGGAACCGTGACCTTAAACGAAATTAATTGTTCCATGGTTTTTAATGATAAATTAAATTTATTTGATTTCTTTTCTTTGGGAATTTTCGTCTTTTTGGATGATTTACTCCTTCCAAAATAATCTTCTTCACGATCTGATTTTTTAACTAAAAGTGTTCCTTCAGGAATGTTATTGATCACATCAGGTTGACGAATGTTATTATTGTTATTATTACTTTCATTGGTTAAATTAGTGTCGGCCTGTAGAGTAGGTTTTCCCGTGCCATACTGAGTTTGAAAGTAGTTAATCAAATTTTCACAAATAAGAATTTCTTCTTGAAAAGCAGGGATTTCAGCTTCTTCTCGCATACGACTCACAATTTCAGACCTTTTTTGTTCATCGCGTTCTTCTCTCTTCTTTCTGTTCATTTCAAATCTACGACGACGTTCTTCATCCAATAATTGCTTATATTTTTGTTTGGCTCTATTATAATCTTCTTTCATCGCTTTTCTATCAGAAATCTGTGTTGTGAGTTCATCACGTAATCTTTTTCTTTCTTCAAACAATTCATTCCTTTTTTCTTTATCTGATGCATGATCTTTGCTGATAGAATCAAGTTCTGCTAAAATTTTCTCGTATTGAGCATTTGTTTCTCTAAATTCTTTATCATCGATAGAACTTCTCAATTCTTTTATAGCTTTTTCATCGGAATCGATAGAAAGTTGAAAATTTACACATTCTTCGACGGTTTTCTTGGATCTCTTTAAAGAAGATATTTCAGAAATAAATCGTTTTTCTTCAACAATTTTCAAATTTCCGGATTCAATTTGCTTTTCTAATTTTCTATATATGAAAATCAAATAATAATTAATATTCGATTCTAATTTAAAAAAAATTTTAATCATGTAAGAAGTGAACTTAAATGCTTACAAAATCTGGGAATCAATCTCTTTGATCGTACGATATTGTAGTTTTTCTTGTGCTGCCTTAAGAGTACGTTTCTGGAAAAAAGTTTATTTCATATTTAAATTTTACAGTCATACGCAGCGATTAAATATGCAATAGGTCAACCAAAGTGAAATTCTATACCTTTTTCTCTTGTGTTTCACTTAAGTTTTTAATTTGTTCATAAGTTTTTAACCGTCCTTGTTTTTTTTCTGCTTGTTTTCCACGAAGTCTATCTAGTTGAGACCGAAGTTCTTCACGCTTTTGAACAATAGTACCACTTTCGGAGGAATTATTGATTTTCTCATTAATCCCAACCTAATGTTCATCAAGATGTTTCAAAAGTCATTTATGTTGATTAATAACTTGCAAATATAATTTAGTGCCCTTGAAAAAAATTTTGCATCTAGACCCAACAAGAACTCAAAAAGATAACTTTTCATTAAACAAACCAGAGAACATAATATGAGGTTCTATGAACATATATTCTGAAGACTTTCTTAAAATCAAAAAAATAAACTCAAAAATTTACCAGCTCTTCTTTTAATTTGTCAATCGTATTATTCAAATCCTCAAGTTGTTTCCAATAGGTCTCATCATCAGGTTTGGATATCTGTAAGTTGGTTTGGTTAGTATTTGTAGGGTATTGTTCAGAGTCGGTAGCAGAGATAATCATCACGAAAACGCAAAAAAATCACGAACTGGTTCTTCAAAATTATTTAAATTATGATAAAGATTATTGTGTTATTTTTTTTCTTCCAATCAGCAAATTACAAATACTAAAATCATCAATGTACCAATTTTTCCTTACATGCATGAATCTTGATCTCACGTGATAGTTGTTAGAGAAAACCCAATCGGAATATTTATAACATTGAATACTTAGATGTTGGAACACGAAAAATATACTATTCTTTTCATTTTTTTTTTAATTTGGAGTCCAATATTAGTTACTTTATCTTCTAACAATCTTACGATTATGATTAAATCTTTTTCACACTTGTACATAAAGTTTATATTTGTCTGACTCCTTATCCCAAGCTTCTTTGGATATTTCAATAATAAATGAAGATATATTAGAGAAATCTTTCCTAAGTATTGAAGTAAAAATATCATTTTCGTTCTACAATAAATGGAAATATGATTTTAATAAACTTTTCTTTTTGTTACATGAGTAAAGTTACATACCAGAAGTAAAAGATATCAAAAAATTCGTTATCATTCAGTTTTCGTTTTTTTTTAAGAACATCATATAAGCTTTCAAACTGTCTGATATTCTGAGCAAAACTTTCTGACGTAGATTTATCTATCTTCTGAGAGTCTTGGATTCCATTATTACATAATCAGTCTATCCATAGTATTCTAAAAGTATAATATTCTATATTAAACTTTGGAAATAATCAAAACAATCTGCAATTCATAATTGCAGGTATTATCGTTATTCTGACTTTGTGAGAACTTATTTTATTTTCTCTTCTTTAATGCTAAATATTATTATTTTAATTTATTCTTACTATTATTATAATTTTTACTAATAAAAAAGAATTCTACTTAGTTAATTTAGGTATATTATCTATATATTTTTATTAACTTTACAAGTAAAGTTTATGTAACAGATTATCAATTAAATTTTAAATTAACTATGCAATTTCTAAATTTGAATAAATTCTTCTTCACGGGCTATAAAGTAAAAACATAATATTACTATATAAAATAATATTTTTTAACAGAAGTTACTAAATACCCTTCTTACTGAAATGAGGTTTAGAGGTTCTTTTTCATAAAAGAATGACAATATTCTCAAGTTTGATAATAACATCGATATAATGATTAAATGAATAAACTCTAATATTTCAAAATTTTATTTTTTGAAAATTGTATTTCAGAGCAGAATTGGATTTTATTATGTATCTTGGATTTCCAATTATGTGTTAGTGCTGATGTTTTTACATTAAAAACCACAATTGAGCTGGATATTATTATGAGATTTTTAATTAAAGAATAATGATTTAAAGCTAAGATGGATATGTTTGTGAATTTTATATTATCGTTGTTTTACAGTATAGAATATAATATTTTATGTAGTATTTCTTTTTTCTTATGTAACTTTTACATAAATAAAATCTGGTTGTAATTGAGTAAACTTTAAAAATGTAAATGACAAAAAAAGCTCGACTTCTCTTCGAACTGAAAGGATTCACACCAACGAGGTTTAGTCTCTTCGTGAAAAATTTATTCAAATCATATATTTATTATACGACTAAACAAGCAATTGTATCCAAAAAAATTTCTCTAGATCCTGTTATTCAGCTCAACTTCTTTTGACCTATTATATTAATTAACAATTTTTATAAGGCATCTAAGGCATCTCTATCTGTTTTTTTTTTTTTAGCTGTCTCAAGTTCTTTTCATGAAATTAAGCTCAATATCATAATCTAAATATCCATGAATTTCTTAGGGTATTTTTTTCGTACCTCTTCTATTTCTTTCTCTGTTATCCAACATAATATATATGCATGTTACATGAGCCGAGCTGTGCGCACATCAATTTCTAAGAATGATCGACGGACCTATAAATTTACCAAAAAAATAAATCAAAAACTGAAAATATGGGAATATCAACCTTCTTCAAATATATTACTGAAAAATGTGAAAACATCAAAGAAATTGTTTCAAACAATTGCTGTGACAATTTATACCTAGATGCAAATGGCATCTTTCACAAGGTTTGTTTCAGATTCTTTTTGATTCCTTTACCTTACTTTTGATCTAATATTATATATATATAGTCGGCTCACACCTCCGAAGGCGACATGATTAAGATTTTGAATTATATTGAAGAAATAATGTTGTCGGTACGCCCCAAAAAATTACTTTATATTGCTATAGGTATTAAATAGAAATTTTTAAGATGCATTATTTTTTTTTTTTTTCATGGATAACAACAATTTTTAGATTAATATTTGAATTTTCCAGATGGGGTTGCACCACGTGCTAAAATGAACCTGCAGCGATCTCGTCGGTTCAATAAGGCACGCAAAGAAAGAGGAAAAGGAGATAAATTAAGAGGTAATGCATTTTTTAGGATAATGTTATAAATGTCCCCAAAATGTATTTAATTTGAATTTTTTTTTTTTTTTTAGAATCTGATAGAAAAAGGTTCGACAGCAATTGTATTACTCCAGGTAATATTATCAATTATACTTTTTTATTAACGTGTTTAATAGAAATACAATTGGAATTTTTGATTTAAAATGAATTTTAATTAATTGTAATAATAATTGAAATAATTTTAGGTACGCCATTTATGACAAAACTGGCAAACTGTTTAAGAAATTGGATTGCAGAAAAGTTCAATTCGGGTGAATGGAGAAATGTAAATGTAAATTTTTTTTTAAACTTCATTCACTTCATTAATATTAACACTTTTGTTAATAATAGCTAAAAGTCATACTGTCTGATTCAAGCGTCCCTGGTGAAGGCGAACATAAAATAATGGATTTCATTCGTGCTCAAAAAACTAATATCCACTATGATCCTAATACACGACATATTATATATGGATCGGTTTGTGTTGCAAAATCTTTTTTTTTGTAAGCCGAAATTTGGTTAATTCAATTTTAAATTTATATTGGCATGTGTTTATATATTAGGACGCAGATTTGATCCTGCTCTCTCTTGGGACTCATGAACCGCATTTTAAGGTTTTGCGTGAAGATAATAGTGAAGGTATTTATAAAATTTGTTTCTTTACTTTAAATAATTTGTATTCATTATATAAAACTTTAAATATATTTATCATTAATCCAATTAAATAAATGAAATCCATTGGAATATAAATTAACATAACCAAAAGTATTACCCGAGAAACCTTTTATATTATTAAACATAGAGGTAGTTCGTGAATACCTCGCGACTGAGCTCAAAGGTTCCTGCACCTTTGACCTTGAAAATGCGATAGATGATTGGATTCTTCTTTGTTCTTTAGTTAGTAATGATTTCCTACCACATTTACCTTCATTGGAAATAAGAGAAGGTGCAATTAACAGATTAATACCTATATGGAAAAATTGTCATCTTTCAATGGGAGGGTATATTACAAATAATGGGAACGTGAGTTCATGATGCCATAATAATATTTTTAATTCAATAACTGTACGCAAAAGCTTTATTATTATTATTTTTTAAATTAGGTAAACTTAGAGAAAGTACAGTATTTATTTACGGAGTTAAGTAAAATTGAGGATGAAATATTTATTAGTAGACACAAATGTAAATGTTAAGGCTATAATAGTTATAATCGTAATAATTATTATAATTTTAATAATTATTTAATTATTATTATCTTAGAATGTTAACTAAAAATAATTAATCTCATAAATATCATATAGCTGTTCAGTTTAATACTGATAATAAAGATCCTGTTAGGTATGTTCAGTTTAATCAGTTTAATCGATATTTTTTTTCAATGATGACATTATTAAATTTCATATTTATTTTTAATTCCATAATTTTAGGTTATGGGAATCTGGATTCAAAGAAAGATATTATAAAAACAAATTTGATATTGAATTACCTAATCATCAATTTCGTGCGGAGTAAGTTTATATCTCTAAATATGACGTGATTTCACATTGGAATGATTTTCTATGTTTAAGTGTTTTTTTATTTATTTATGTATTTATATATATAGCTTAGTAAAGAGTTACGTTGAGGGTATATGTTGGGTTATGAAATATTATTTTCAGGTACAATTTTATTCCTTCTACTATTTAACATTATTAGAGAATTTACTTTATTATTTTCTTTAAATTTTAGGGTGTTCCATCCTGGAAATGGTATTACCCATATCATTATTCACCTTTTTCTTCGGATTTCACAGATATTAGAGATATCAAAATTGATTTTACATTAGGCGAACCATTTAAACCTTTTGAACTGTTGATGGGTGTATTGCCAGCTGACAGGTTGAAAATCTGAAATTTGTTTATTTATTTATTTTATGATATATTTTATTTTATTTATTTTATTTAAATATCATTTTGCTCATTCATATAATAGTAAAGAAAATTTGCCTAAACAATTTCATGTACTTATGGAATCGAAGAATAGTGAAATATTTGATTTTTATCATACGCTTCCATCGCAAGGTAAATATAATAATGATGATTATGATTATGATTATAATGCAACAATCTCATATATCTTTTTAAATATTAATAATATAAATTCTCTAAAAGGCGTGGACTTGCTTCCATTTATTGATGAATCACGATTATTGAAAGCCGTTAATTCTATATATCCAACTCTTGGGCCAGAAGAAACTGCTCGAAATAAATTTGGATCAGAGATTCTCTGTTTAAGCAGTAAACATAAATTATATGGTAAATTAGTTACTTTATATCCAAAAAGCATGATTGATCATGTAAATATAAATTTCAAATAATTTAAATATTCAATTTGATTTTTTTATTATTATTTTTATTATTACTATTATTATTATTATAATTTAATTTCTTTTTTTTAGCTTAAAGATAGTGAAATAATCGATTTGAATGAAGATCCCAAAATCAGTGATCAATTAATCGGATATGTTGCACGTGACAATAATTTTATTGTTAACGATAAATCATTAAGGTGAATATTTTATTTATTTAAATTCTCACTTATTATTTGTTATTGGTTGTACAAGAAAGTGCAAGTTTGAGTATAAAATTTATTTTTTATATTTATTATTTATTTATTATTTATTTTAGTGTTTTATATTACACAAGTCTGTCCTCTTTGAAAATGGTTGAATTAGATCCATTAAGGTCATGAAGATTATGAATTTGTTAAAAATGGTGGATAGGGGGAAGAGGATAGAGATCCTAGATATGAGAGACCTTCATATTTTACACATAATTCAACATAATCTTTCAATGGGATTCTTCTACACATAATTATCATACAATGGGATATTCACATAATTTATAATTTACATGATCATATGAGCTGATTTGGCTTCGTTAATTTATTATATCACATAAGCGATATTTGAGAAAATATATTGTTTCGCATAATATTATATGATAAAAAAGAAAGAATAGACAAAGAAATAAATGAAAATAACAAAATAGTTATTATTTATTAAATAAACATCAAATATTTTTTTAAAATAATTTTCCAAGAGTTTCAAACTTATACAGTTAAAATATTATAAATTAGATAAATATCGGCCTGTGACAAAATTACATTGATATATGTATATGAGATTCAAAAATAATAACATTATTTTTACATATAATTAAATGTATATAGTTTTTTTTTTTAACTTATAAAACTTTTAACAAAAGAATAGATCTGGTTGTAAACTGGATCTGTAAACATCAATATGCAATTTTGCAAAACCATCTCAATTCCACATGATTGTTTGATTATATTGTATTGAACCTTGATTTTTAATATTTGCAAGTGGTGTGATTCATCTATGACCTTCAGAACATTCCCAAAGAAGCGGTGTTATATTATCTATATACCTTAATGCAAATGCGCGATTTTTATTGCCGTTTTTAGATTATAAGGTTCACATCCCATACTTTTTATATATCGCAAAGGCGCGTCTCCAAGCTAATGGAGAATCATTATTAATATAATTTTCAGATAAACACACCCCACCTTTATCGAATGCAATCTCTTTCGCGACTTGTAAGCTAATTTTTTGATTTTCTTGAGAACAATGTAAAAACTACGGGCCAGACTTTACAGTATAAAGATCTCTTTCTCATTAGAACATCTCCAACGTAAAGGATATATTTACTAAATAACACTTTCCTTCATGTTTTTCGGCCAAATCTTGCGCAGTTTTTAAAGAATATTTTAATCGAGTCATTTTTTATTTTTTAATGCTATGGAACCTAGTATTATCATTATTATTATACAATCAGATGAGGAATTACTTCAGATACTTTATTATAACATACCTGGATTTTATCCAAATGCAGAAAGTCTGTATAAAAGAAGGGTATAAAAATTTTCGATTGTGGGATATAATTGTAGGATTGCTAAAAGACATAATAACAACGAGTAGAAAGTAAAAGACAACGTGTACAAGAAAAAATCAAAAAATAGATATTCATGTATTTTATTACGTCTGGCATCTAAGAACATAATAAAGAATTTTACTTTTTGCATATATTTTTATTGTAATAAATTCGAATATGACGGATGCTAAATAAAATGTATATCGATGAGCTCTTTCCATTTTCTTTGGCAAAAGCAATTGCACTCACTTTAGGAATTTGTTAGCTAAAAATCACTCAATATTAAATCTTGTAATTCCCATAAATCCAAAAGAAAACCATTAACTGCACTAGTAGGAACGCAACCAAAGGCACCATTGAAAAGTTCAATGGCAGGAATATGCAATTGATAGTCCGGAATACCGTCGAAATTGCAAGAGGTTGCTGAAAACTCAAAGCCGAAGCCGAAGCCGAAGCCAGTAATGTTAGCAGGTGGAACACCCACAATATTCGTAAGAAATTCTATTGTATTATTACGGAGAGGCGCCGTGCCAAAAGATATAATGATATCTGGTATTGTATTATTTCGATTTGTACGTAGATAGCGCAGTGCAAGCATTGCCCTTGTACCATTCTGAAGAATGGGAAATATTTTGATTGCAATATAAATTTGGATGGTTGTTTACGGAGAAAAATAACCTCTCGAAAGATTATGCAAGCTAGGAATAGTTTCACTGTTGCCAATTTCGACAACCAGCGTTGGATATGGTCTCCCCTCTGAGTTAGATCCTTGGCCAGCTGGGGGGTCTAGGAAGTCCTCGTGGTCGGATGGTAAGATCAGCCGTAAAGTAACTATTCGATCCCACAATAATATTTTCTTCATTTGTGCCAAGTAATTGATTATTCCAAGAATTTATCAAGAAAGAGATTCTGTTCGCTACTATGAGAGAGGTATTTCGTGAGCAACAATTCTTCCATCGACCAAACGAATTCTAACAGGGAGCTTTCGTTCAGCTTCGAGATACTTGATGTAGGCTTCGAGTGATACATTTTCAGCGATAATGATATCCTCGCTCATTTCTATTTTTTTTTCTTGGTATGCAAGTAAACGGTCCCTGGCTTGATTAAGGCGATCTTTTAACCGAAGTGGAGACTGCATATGGGAAGTTGCGACAGTTGAAACGGTAGAATTAAATGAGATATGGGAAGTTGGAACAGTTGAAACGGTAGAACTAGGATAAGATATAAAAGAGTACATTTTAGAGAGGATTTTTTTTCAATACTGTTCATTAATGATAATATTTAGTGGGTTCAGGATTAAAAAAAAGGATAGGAATGCTAGTTGTATATAACTACTTACCTATGAGTTGTGATCTAAGTCATTGTATAATTTTGCCATTTCGTTTTTTCGTTATAAATTAAAAATTTGAAAAGAACTCTGATATATGATTTATAATACAGTTACCAGTGTTACGTTCACCAGTTCATATAAGCTATCACTTTTAGTATCATCACTTAGTCGTAGAAAGTGAAACTTTAACGAGTTTGATTAATCTAAATCGGGAATACAATATGTTGATGCAAACAATTAAAAAATTTTTTAATTGGGCGGATATATCTTATTAATCAATTTTATAAAGTTTCTTTTCTACTCCAAAGTGATAAAGCGAGATTGAAAAAAATGCTTCTCTGGTAATCATAGGATAAATCATATATCAAAGTTCTTTCATTTATAACGAAAATGACTAAATTATTTAATGACTCAGATTCGCATTTGTATAAGTGTTTCGGCTAGTGCGGAGGTGGGTAATTATTTGCAACTAGTGTTTCTATACTTTTCTTTAATTCTGAACCCACTAACGTACAGTGTTGAAAAATGCACTCTTTCATATCTTACCCGATCTAGTTCCACAATTTCAACCATCTCAACTTCTTCCCATATCCCATCTAGTTCTACCGCTTCAACTGTCGTAACTTTCCATATGCAGTCTGTTCCACTTCGATTGAGCAAAGATCACCTTAATCAAGCCAGGGACCGTTTACTTGCATATCAAGAAGAAAAATATGAATCCAGTCATTATTGCTGAAAATGTATCACTCAAAGCCTACATCAAGTGTCTTAAAATTGAGTGAAAGTTCACTGTTAGCGTTCGTTTGGTTGATGGAAAAATTATAGCCCACGAAGTACCTCTCTCATTACATGGAGCGGTAGCTAACAAAATCTCGTTCTTGATACTTTCTTGAAATAATCAATTACTTGTCGTAAATAAAGAAGATCTTATTGTGGGACCAAATAGTTACTACACTGCTGATCTTACGCAAGATTTTCCTAAAGCTCCAATTGACCAAGGATCTAATTCGAAAGGGAATGCATATCCAACATTGATTTTCGAAGTTGGCAACAGCAATGTCTGTTCCTAGCTTACATAATCTTTCAACAGGTTACTTTTCTTCACGAAAATCATTCAAATTTATCTTGTCAATAAAAATAATTTCTGAACATCAGGATGGTACAATGGCAATGTTTGCACTACACTACCTACACACAAATCGAAATAATACAGTACCAGATATCATTATATATTTTGGCACGGCGCTTCTCCATCCCTTAACAATAAATTTTCTTATGAAAGTTGTGGGTGTTTCACCTGTTACCATTACTGACTTTGGGTATTCAGCAACTACTTGTAATGCCCCTAATATTCCAGATTATCAATTGCATAATCCTACCATTGAACTTTTTAATGTTTCTCCTGGTGGTTTTCCAGCTGGAGCAATTAATGTGTTTTACTTAGATTTATAAGAATTAAAAAAGTAAAATATCAATAATATATTTTGGGGTGGGAAAAATGGAAAAAAAAATAATATTAATATTTGATTAAGTTTATGATGATAAAAATAAGTCAGATTAAAGTTTTTGTTAGCATTATCTTTGTATAATTTTTTTCATTAGGTTGTATGTTTCAAAGATTGGAATCACATAAATGAATCTTCGATTTAACAATATGTAAAACTTATAATTTCATTAAATGTTTCATTACATATAATTTTTAACTTATATGACAAAACAATCAATTATCTTCGCATTCGAGTTAACACACATTTTTTGTTTGATAAAATTATTAGGACAAAGAATTCGTGTGCAATTTATAAAACCGATTACTTTGCAAAAATATTGCAGTGTCATTTCTTCGAAATAAAAAATTCAAATTCTTTATTGATAATACGGAAAAAATATACGAAAAGGATTTAGCTATCTATTTTTTATTTTTTTTTTGTACACGACATCTTTTATTTTCGGGTTCGTTAACAATTTTTCGAATATTATGACAGTTTCTTAGACGAGTACTCCTTTTATTTCTTGAGTTCCTAAAATTTTTGAAGTCCTTCATGTCCAATCGGTAATAAAGATATCGAAATTAATAGAGAGGAATATGGGCTCGCTTCAGGTGAATGTGATGTGTCACCTAAGGGAAAGGCTTCCCAACAATATATCATAACCATAGCCGATGATGAAGAGGAATTGGAATTATTGTAAGAGCTAGGATTAGTAGAAAAAAAGATGCAACTCCCGTTTCTGCTGAAAAAAACAAAGCAGATTATGGAGAATTACGGAACAATCATGATTGCAAATAATTCCGCCTCAATACTACAGTACAAGTCCGAAAAAGACATTTAATCGAACCATCTTCGGGTGAAGGGAGCGATACTGTTGATGTATAAAATCGATCATCTCGACAAGCATTTCCGCGAGAAAAATAAATTGTTGGGGTTAATTCGAGAACTATCTATGCCCATCAAAGGTGAAACCACCGAAATTAAAAAAGAAGAAACCGAGAATTCTTGAGTCCGATTATATCAAAAAGCACTTCAAGCTGAAAATTGTGTAACCCAGAAGAAATTCGTTGCTGGTTTTATTTCGAAAAAAAAGTATCATGACCCTTTCCGAGTTTATAAAATTCATGACCGGATCATCCTGGTTGATCCGACCCGTTAGGAGCACTAATTACAAGTAATTTAGTAAAAGATTATCTTTGAAATATTAGATGTAACAATTGATAAAAAGCATTTTAGTAAGAAGTTTATTCTTTACTGGTTGAAGTCCCTAACTTTTAAACTTGAACTTATACAATTTATAAATACTTTGAAAACTGCAGAATTGTTAAAATAAAAATATAAATACTACAAGAAATATATGTAAAATTTTTAAACATTATAGATAGTGAAAAAAAAAATCAATTATTTCAGTAACCCAAATAATATTGTATATATTAGGTTAACAAATTTAAATATATAATATTTCTTTAATAGATCAGGCAAAAATTTTACTTTCATATAAAGTTTTCTTTGATTTTTCATAAACACCCAAAAATATATATCCACCAATAGAAATCCATAATACACGAGGACCAATTCCTTTAAATAATGATTTTGGTCCTTCTTCAGATAAAATTCTATTAAATGTATTTAGAACACCCAAATAATTATGTGAATGATTATGCATAATTTGATTCTATTCAATAAAAAATTAAATAAATAAAATAAATAAATATATAAAATGAATAAAATAAATAAATATATAAAATGAATTGTATAAACAAATAATAAATAAAAATCATTAACTTTACTTTATCAGATAACATTAATCTAGTCTTTATAACATCCAATGGAGTTGTAATAGCAGCCGCTGTACCTCCTGCTATAGATCCACAAATTGCTGCTTCCCAAGGTTCTGCCTTCTTTCGTTTAGCATACCTTGCCACCATAACTTTTAGGTATTCATAAAGAGGGAATTGTAAACATGTAAAAGGTATCTGATACATGTATATATAGAAAATATATATAAACAAAAATAAATTATAAATTTGCATAATTATTAAATTCTCATCTAGTGACACTAACTTCTCTTAATATTGTACTTAAAAATCCACGATAAAATCCAAAGAAACCTTCTTGTTTATAAATTGTTTTGATTGCTAAACTTGTTGATGAATAAAGTTTGGTTTGCATTCTAGATTTAATGACTTCAGTTGGTGTACGTGTAATGCATGCCGCCTTTTTAATATAAATTATTATACACACACATAGACTCAGAAAAATATAATAAATATATATATATAAATATATAAATATATATTTAAAAATACTTGCAATCTCCCCACCCGATGCTGCCACCATGTGAATTAATGGAAGATATTTTTTATCAGGAAATATATTTCCCAATGCTTCTTTTAAATATTCATATGAAATGAAAAATGTTGATGCTAATACAATAAAAAAGTTATATTTCTTTTTTTTTTATTACTTTTTTTTTTTATAATAACATAACATAATAATTGATAATAATTGAAACAAAAACCTCCTGGTGCACTTCCAACAATGACACTTGCAAGTCCCGAATATATTCCACGAAAGCCTCCTGAAGAATAAAAACCTGTCTTTGATTGTAATCTAGTTTTTAATGTATCTAACGGGAATAGAATTACATCTACTGTAGTTCCCGCTATTCCACCTGCCTTTATTAAGTTTTAAATATGTATAAAAACACTAAAATTTTATGAAATGGTAATATTAAATTAAAAGAAATTAGTTACGATTAATACCACAAGGGCTTGTTTCAAATTGGTCGTCTCCATATTTTTATCATATCAATATTTTTTCATATCAATATTTTTTAGCATTATATAAAATATTTAAAATATTTTAAAAAATTATTTGATAATCTCATCCAATTTGATAAACAGGATAAAAATCTCGTTTATAAATCAACTTGAAAAAAATTAAAATTACTGTTATTTCGTGATAATAAAAGTAAAAAAGAGGCATAAGAAAATTTTGATTTTAATTTTCGTAAAGTACGCGTTTGGAAGTTTGTATTTATTTAGAGAGATGTATAAATTGGATTGGTGATTTACATTCTACATAATGATACATAAATGAGAGATTATAAAATTGGTTCTACATATGATAATAAATGGCGACAAATGATTTTCTTTGTTGTTTCACAAAATGATTTTCATAGATCACTGAAAATCCATCGTTTTTTAATTTTTGATTAAAGATAATGTCATTTAGGGTTCCTTTTAATAAATTGCATCACCATCCTAAAAGAGATCTTTTACTCCTTGTATTTGGAGACCATTTTCAAGCCTTAGACACTAGGTACTATTATTATGATTTCCTTAACCAAACAAGAAAATATTATCTAAAAAAAATTTTTTTTTTTGAATCTATAGAACAGGTGCATTGATAGCTTCCACTCGTGCTTTATATTCCGATAGTAAAGATCCTGAAAATCAAATATCTCAACCGAAATACATTTCACCCGCTGACGTACACAATACACCTATAAGAACCGTTGCTTTTCACGATGGTATTGGTTCTTTGTTTGCAACCAGTGGAGAAGACAAATTGCTAAAGGTTTGGGATCTTGATTTAGAGTGGAAACTAAAAAATACGAGGTAATAATACATAATTTTGATCGAATTGGGTTGTCTCATATTTAAGTACTCATCTTATTATTCTATATAGACCAGTTACAAAACGACTTGTTTCCATTGCCTTTAATAAAGATGCATCAAAAATAATTACAGCAGATAAATTCGGTGATGTTTTTAGGTAAAGTAATTAAAAATTTTATTAACATTTTATAATATTTTCTAAAATTTAGTTTTAAATTGTTTCTTTAATTATTTAGTCATTCTTTAGAACTGACAGATGATAAAAATTCATGCGAGTTATTATTAGGTCACGTCTCTATGATCACAGACATGGTAAAGTTACAAGTTATCATATTTTAATTTTAATTTTATAATTTATATAAATTATTTATTTATATTCATCTTTAGCTGTTGACTTTCGACAATAAATTCATAATCACAGCTGATCGTGATGAACATATACGCGTTAGTCGATTTCCAAAAGGATATAAAATTGAATCTTTTTGTTTGGGTCATACACAGTAAATGTTTTATTTATTTATTTATTTATTTATTTTTATTAGAAAAAAAATTATCTAAATATAAAATTTGAATTATTTAGATTTATTTCAAAATTGAATATATTGCCGTGGGATTCTAATCTATTACTTTCAGGAGGTGGTGATGATTTTATTGCCTTATGGGATTTTGCATTAGGATTGTTAATTCAACAATTAGATATTAAACAATTGATAGAATCTCAGGTAAGCTGCTAAAAAGAAGTAAGTTGAGAATGTGTTACATGTAAATATTATATATAATACTAACTTAAAATATTTGTTAGATTGATGATAAAAATCAGTTCAAATTTATCACAGTGTCATCCATTATCAGTAGTGATATTTCGAAGCATACTGCTATTCTTATAGAGAAGTAAGAATAAGAATAATTTAATATTATCCAATTGGTAAACATTAATTCATTTATTATGTTACTACTTTTTTTGGGGGGGAATTTCTTAAAGATTTCCTGGAATTATAATTTTGAACTGGGATGAGGTACAACGTCATTTCATATTCAATCAAATATTGACACTTAAGGATAATCCACTGGATATATCATATGATCACCGAGGAAATTTATGGATTGCAAATTCAATGAAAGATAAAAGCAATGAAAATCTAATAACAATGTTTCTGAGAGAAGATAATAATGAGGTTAATTATTTCTATGCTGTTTATTAAGTCATTATTTTATTATTTTATCTAACAATTTTATTGGATAATTTTTTTTAACAGTACACAAAAGTTTCATACTTTAATCCTTTAGTTCACCAAATAAACAAGTTTGGATCAATGGAAGGTTAGTTATTATTTATTGAAAATATTTAATTTTGATTATTTCGATTATTTTGATTACTTTGATTATTCAATTTAAAATATAAATACTTATTTACATTTATGAAGTTGATACACTTCCTGACTTATACACCACTAATCAACTTCGCAAAGGATCTATTAATTGGCGAGAAAAAAGGAATAATGAACAAATTGATGATTATAATGATTCACAAAGTACAGTTGGTTTAAAAAATTCTTCAAAGAAAAGGAAAGGACAAGGTGATAAAAAAGAAAACTAAACAGAATTTTTTAATAATGGTTGGATAATGAATCAATAATATTTAATAATGTTTAATTGTTTAAGTTTAATTTTTTTGATAGACCCATAGAGTTGGTAAAAAAAAAAAATTCTAAAAATGTGATTGTATAGAAGGAGGGTTTGTTGATAATTATTTTATTGTAAAATAGAATTTATTAAATTTATTAAAGCTTCCTATAAGCCTACTAAGTAGTATCACGTGATAAATAACATTAGTAGAGTCACGTTACTTAAAATAAAACATATATAAATGATATAAAAAATATAAATACTCGACTTTTGCTTTAGCAATGGGTAAAAAAACGGTCACATTTGCAGACGACAAGAAGGGTGAAATCAAAAATGATTATGAGAAAATTAAGAAATCGTCAACAGCAATCAAGAGTCTGACAGATCCTATAAAAAATATAGAGGTTTGTTAAAAAATTCTCGTTTAATAAATCAATAAAATCAAATTTACCAGAGAATCCACTTTTTTAGGACAAATGGCAACTTTTGCCAGCTTTCCTTAAAGTTAAGGGCTTAGTGAAACAGCATATCGATTCGTTTAATTATTTTGTTGAAACCGAATTGAAAAAAATTATTCGGGCTAACGATATGATAACTTCGGATGTCGATCCATCTTTCTGGTTAAAGTAGTTCTGAGTTTATTTTCTCCAATATAGTTTTTTTTTTTTTTGGCATTTTTCCATAATTATTAAATTATTTCTTAATAATAATAATAGATATCTTGATATTAAAATTGGCCCTCCCGAACGTCCTGATACTGATCATGATGCCCATCAAAATGTATTCACTCCTCATGAATGTCGTTTACGCGATTTGACATATTCAGGAAATATTTACGTGGATGTCGAATATGTACGTGGAAAAACAAGGGTTATTCGCAAAGATACAATCATTGGAAAATTACCCATAATGCTTCGAAGTTCAAAATGTGTATTAACGAGTAAATCCGATGAAGATCTGGCAAAAATGTTTGAATGCCCTTTAGATCCAGGTATATTCATTAATTAATTTTTATCAGAAATTATATATTATTCACTAAATTTTTAAATATTTTATTTTAGGTGGATACTTTATAATCAAAGGAACCGAAAAAGTTATACTCATTCAAGAACAACTTTCAAAGAATCGCATTATTGTTGAGGGAGATAAAAAAGGTCTTGTTCAAGCTTATGTAACAAGGTAATTATGATTTTTTTTTTTTTTTTATTTTCGAGAATTTAATCTTCTTGCTTTCTTTTAATAATCATTAAATACTCTTTAGTTCAACACATGAAAGGAAGAGCAAAACTTATATAGTCGCAAAGAATGACGGAAAGAACGATAAAATAACTTTAAAACATAACTCAATTTCTGAGGAAATTCCAATTGTTATAGTTATGAAGGTATTTTATTATTTAACGATTTTTAATGATTTTTAATGGGGGTTTTTATATGTTTAAATTATTGTTATTGCTTAATTAGGCTATGGGAATTCAGTCTGATAAAGAAATTGCACAATTGATTTCAGGTGGAAATCAAACATTTTTAAATATGTTTTCACCAAATATTGAGCATGCAGCAAAAATTAAAATATTTACCCAAAAGCAAGCTTTAGATTTTATTGGAAGTAAAGTTAAAGTGACAAGAAAGATTGCAAATGTGAGAAGGCCTATGGCCGAAGAAGCATTGGAAATTCTTGCAACTGTTGTACTTGCACATGTTCCTGTAATAGATTTAAATTTTCAACCGAAAGTTATTTACATTGCTGTAATGATTAGACGAGTATTAATGGCTTTAGCAAATGAGAATTTAGTAGATGATCGAGATTATGTTGGAAACAAAAGATTGGAACTGTAAATGTCTTTTTTTTAAAAAATTTAAATTTTTTTCTTTTTGAAAGAATTATCATTATATATATTTGTATTTACCATTCATCCCATTGTTTATTAGGGCGGGATCTTTGTTATCTCTTCTTTTTGAAGATTTGTTTAAAAAGTTCAATTTTGATCTCAAATTGAATATCGATAAATTATTAAAGAAACCTAATCGTGCTTCTGAATTCGATGCACATAAACAATTAATGCAACATGGAGATTGTATTACTAATGGTTTTGTACGCGCTATCGCTACTGGAAATTGGTCATTAAAAAGATTTAAAATGGAAAGGGCTGGTATCACTCATGTTCTTAGTAGATTAAGTTATATTTCAGCTTTAGGTACTATGACCAGAATAACTTCACAATATGAGAAAACAAGAAAAATAAGTGGACCTCGAGCTCTTCAGGTTAGTAGATGTCTTTGATGCAAAATTTTGAAGCTTTGCTTAGAAATTTCAAGTATCTTTAGACACCTATCTTTTGATTTTTTTTTTTTTTTTTACTATAGTAAACCTGAATGTAACTTACTTTATTACAGATCATTAATATTTTGGCTATATTGCATTTTGAACTTAGCCGTCACAATGGGGTATGTTATGTCCTGCTGACACACCCGAAGGTGAAGCTTGTGGATTAGTTAAAAATCTCGCTCTTATGACTCATATAACAACTGATGATGAAGAAGAACCACTTAGGAGACTTGCATTTAATCTTGGTGTTGAAGGTTTTATGATTACCTTTTAATTATTTTTTTTTTAACTCATCTTAGAAATGACGTAACTAAATTAATTCATCTTAATTTATTAATTTCAGATGTTAGTAGTTTAACTGGAAGTGAACTTTATCAACCAAATTCTTATATGGTTTTTTTGAATGGTCTTATGCTTGGTATTACACGACAGCCTATAGAATTTGTCAAAGATTTTCGAAGTTTACGTCGCTGTGGTCGAATATCCGAATTTGTTAGCATTTACGTGAATCATCATCATACAGCTGTTCATATTGCTTCTGATGGTGGTCGAGTATGTCGTCCTTTAATAATAGTGGAAAATCAAAAACCTAGAGTAACTTCAGAACATATTAAAAAATTAAAACAAGGACGAATGAAGTTTGCAGATTTTTTAGAGCAAGGGCTTGTCGAATATTTGGATGTAAATGAAGAAAATGATTCAAACATTGCTATATACGAACGTGAAATAATTCTTCAAACTACTCATCTTGAAATCGAACCTTTTACTATTTTGGGTGCAGTTGCCGGATTAATTCCATATCCTCATCACAATCAAAGTCCAAGAAATACGTAATTATTTCATCATTTTTTTTAATACCATTTTGATATATTTCCATATATTTATATTAATTTCTTAACATCAGATATCAATGTGCTATGGGTAAACAAGCTATTGGAGCTATAGCATATAATCAATTACGAAGAATAGATACTTTGTTATATTTAATGGTTTACCCACAACAACCAATGGTCAAGACAAAAACAATTGAGCTGGTTGGATATGATAAGGTTAGTTTATGAAACAAGATTCTTTCTATATTTTGTCAAATATAATAATTATAATAAAAATGAAATTCTTTTATTTATCACTTTATTAGCTTCCCGCAGGACAAAACGCCATAGTAGCAGTTATGAGTTATTCAGGATATGATATCGAGGATGCATTAGTTCTTAATAGGGTAAATTTTTGATTTATTATTCTTTTTGATTAAAATGATCAATTAATAATAATACTTCTAATTACGAAATAGGCATCAGTTGATCGTGGATTTGGTCGTTGTCAAGTAATGAGGAAACACGTCGCTTTAATGAAGAGATATTCAAATGGATCTTTTGATCGGATAGGGGATCCTCCCGTAGGTTCGGAATTACAAACAGGACCATCTGCCGAACGATTCAACATCTTAGAAAAAGATGGAATAGCGGGAGTTGGCGAAAGAGTTAACCCTGGACAAGTTATTGTCAACAGACATACACCAACTAATCTTAATGCTAATATTCCTATTAATATGCCTATTGCCAATGCTCCTACAATTCAGTTCACTTGGAAACATGCTCCTTTGGTTTATAAATCACCTGAGCCTGGTTATATTGATAAGGTTAGTTCTTTGTTATTATAAATATTTCCTGTCAATTTAACCATATCTTCTAATATATCTTAATAAATTTTTTTAATATAATAGGTTTGTATTACTACTACTGAACAAGAGCAAACTCTTATAAAAACTTTGATAAGACAAACGCGAATTCCTGAATTGGGGGATAAATTTTCATCACGTCATGGCCAAAAAGGTGTATGTGGTATTATTGTACCTCAAGAAGATATGCCCTTTTCAGATACTGGCATATGTCCTGATATTATTATGAATCCTCATGGCTTCCCTTCCCGTATGACAGTTGGAAAAATGATAGAACTATTAGCTGGCAAAGCAGGGGTTTTAAAAGGAGAATTACAATATGGGACAGCATTTGGTGGTAGTAAAGTTGAAGATATGAGTAAAATCTTAATTGAACATGGGTACAATTATTCTGGCAAAGATTATTTAACTTCAGGTAAATGACATTTGATTTAATTATATATATATATATATAAATTTATATATATATTTTATGTAATCAATTTCTTACAATATAAAATCTAATCTCGTAGGTATAACTGGTGAACCTTTATCTGCTTACATTTTCTTTGGACCAGTATATTACCAAAAATTAAAACATATGGTTGTTGATAAGATGCACGCTCGTGCTCGGTAAGTGAAAATATTCATGTGATAATATTGTAATTATCATAAAATTTCTAATATAATTTAATTCTCAGTGGACCACGGGCTGTTTTAACTCGTCAACCTACGGAAGGTCGATCAAGAGATGGTGGTCTACGTCTGGGTGAAATGGAACGAGATTGTCTTGTTGGTTATGGCGCTAGCATGTTACTTATGGAACGATTAATGATTTCTTCTGATCAATTTGACGTTCACGTTTGTGAACATTGTGGGTTATTAGGTTATCGAGGATGGTGTCAACATTGTAAGTCAAGTAAACATATGGTAACTATGCAAATGCCATATGCGGCAAAATTATTATTTCAAGAACTTCAAAGCATGAATATTTCCCCTAGATTAGTTTTAGAAGAATTTTAATGAATTTTCATTACATTTTGAATGACTTCTTTTTACGAGAGTTACCATTTAGTATAAAAAACCAAAAAGTAAAAATTGTATAAATAAATAATTCTTGCACTCAACAAGCAGTATTATAACAATATTCTTAGCAATATTCATAGCAATATTATATTTTTAAATTATATACAAAAATAATTTGTACGAAAAAAAAAAATAATTTAATTTTAATTAACAAGCGAACGTGTACATAATAAATTATCATTAAATTAATTAATTACAAATAAATAAATTTAAATAAATTAATTTTTTAGTAAAATAATAAGTTCTAAAGTTCTATTACAAAGATGATCGCAAAGAACGTATGACACTTTCCATTGCACGTTTTTTTGTACGCACCTCTGGATCTAATAACGTTTGATCTCGTGTCCACCTATGAAATAAGAAATTAAGAATTGAGTTAAAATAAAAAAAAAATAATATTGTTTAATGATAAAAAATAATTGTAATAATTAGTAATTACTTGTCAAATAAGCTTATAACATCTATAGGCTTGAGATGAGAATATTTTTTATTTCGCATCGATGGATTCAAATATTCTTCTACATTATCAGAATTAAGTAAATTTACGATCTACATAATTGAAAGAAAAATATTTTAATTAAATGAATAATATAGATGAATAAAATTCTCATAAAATTCTCATAAGACAACTCAACAAACCTGTCTCAATTCTAAGAATGCATCTGCAATATTTGGGTCCTCTAAACTTTGTGCAAATTTTTCCAAAAAAGTTACATCGGCATCAAAATTAGTTACAGCATTTGAATTAATCCTTTTTACATCTGGACTTAAGATCAACATCTATAGAGTAGATTTTATAAATTATAATAATGTTCAATGTGTAAATCGAAACATAAAGGTGAAAGATTTTCTTGATAAATAAAATTGAAACCTACTCTAAGAGATGTCGCCAAATGACTTAACGCATCAAAATTTATAAAAGTCTTGATCGACATTGGAAGGTTATATAATGTAGAGCCAATGAGAGTACCAAGAAATCCAACCATATCTATTGATTAACAGAAAGGAAAAATTTTAAATATATTGGACTTTTCAATAACAAAATTAAAAAAAAAAAAAAATGGAAATTAATAAATGTAAGACCTTACCTTGAAGAAATGGACTTGGATGATTTTGAAATGTCGCTGGAGTCCTAATAATGTAATGAATAAAAAAAAATAATGGATATAGTAAATAATAATAAACATAATAAGAAAATATTTTAACAATATTTAACGAGACTTACCAATCATAATCCGCCAATTCTAAAAAGTCATCAATCTTAGAATTAACAAGTTCGAAAATACGTTTTTCGGCTTTTTTCCGAGTTTCGCGAAATTCACCAGCAGCAATTAATTTAATCTTCCCACCACGATGAGAAGATCTAAAAACGTAAATAGATTTTAGTTCAATAAATAAAATGATATCAGTCATAATGGATAATTGAATACATAAACTTACCTTTTTGATTTCAGCAATTTTTCAAGTTCTTCACAAGCACTTTCAAAATACTCGAGATTAATTATAATTTGAACGATTTGGGACATATTTGTACTTTTTAGTTTGCCAAGCAATACACCGTTCACATGTTCTATCAACAGATTATCTAGTGTCTTAATTAATATGATAATAAAATGTAAATATTAAATAACAATATAAATAATAATAAAAATAATTCTAAATATTAACCTGTTTTGCGATATCATCTACGTAACTATATTGCCTTGAGTCATCTTCTGCAAATTGATAATATTGACTGATAAAATTCTTGATGTCTAGACAACACGATGGATATGCTTGAGAAAATGGAAGGGTCCTTGGATAACTATTTCATAATAATTGAAAATAATAATATATATATATAAATATTACAATTCAATTTATTTAAAATTGAAAAAAAAATTTCATTTAATTTAATTTATCTTACCCTTGACTGATGCGATGATCCCCTTCTTTAAACCAACAAGCATCAACTACGGCTTCATACTCTTCCGGATATTGGATTTGCATTGGCATATAATAATCATCAACGATGGTCTAAATTTCATTTAATTCAATTGATAAGAAAAAAAAGCCTATTTCTCGTAAAAAAAAACATGTATATATAAATTTTACTTGATGAAAATCTTCCGAAAACTTTCGTTTCAACATATCCGAATATCGTTGGAATACAGTTAAGATTAAATCCGTAAATGAATTTATGTTATATCCATAATCCTACAAAAAATTAATTTCAATTTTAATAATTATTTCACAAAACAAAGTAACAAAATGAAAACCTAAAAAAAAAAAGTCATACTTCAAGCGTTTGGATAAATGTGAATAAACTAATTTTAATTTTTTGAAATAAAACTGGATCATAACAATCATCTAAACTTTCTGAAACTATTTTCACGACCTTTGCTATGACATTTTCCCACAGATTGTCCACTTCCGATTGTGACCGAAAATTTTGAGTTGAATGCACAATGACATGTTCTATTACAAAGAAACCAACAATTTCTTGAAGGAATGCCTCAAAACCTTTTTCATCATTTTCTCTCAATGTGAAAGACTGTGAAAGTACTAAATTGGCTTGGGCCTAACAATAAACAAAAAAAAAAAGGAATGAATTTTTATTTCTTTTTGACATAATAAGGAATTGATTAAATATATAAAATACCTTTCTGTCTTCTTCGTAATTGGATTTAAATTCATTTCGTTTTCCAAGTTCTTCATGAATATGAAGACATTGATATAACGGTCTAAAATCAATCTTAACTTGGTCATTATTTATAATATCAACTTTACAAATAACAAATAATAACAAATAATAGTATTAACATTAGTAACAATAAAATTATATTGAATTTATGAAATAAATGTTTCTTACATTCATTTTCTTCATTCATTACCATCTCAATTGGTGAACTAACGGCAACTGAACGTAAGTCCGGGTTTTGTTGAACTTTTGTCCTCCATCGTTCTTGACGTAATTTCATTTGTTCCATTGCAATTTTGCCAACTTGACGGGTATCTTGTTGAACGCTAATAATTCATATAATTTCATATAATTCATATTCATTCGAAACTTAAGTTTTCTTAAAAACGATTCAACGAAAATTAGTGACACAATCCACTTACCGAAATAACCATTCTTTCATTTCCTTTGTTACAGCATTCTTTACATTATTTTGCATAACAGGTATAGATTCCTCTAACAAAAAAAAAAAAGAAAAAAGGAAGAGATTCAGCGATTAAAAATCATAAAAATCGTAATGATTAAATAATATTATTAACATACGCATATGCTTTGCGAATTCATATTGAATGAATTTGCGTAAATGAACAGTCTGTAGTTCTTCCAAAGTCTGAACATAAATAAAAGAAACAATTTAGTTTGTTTTAAATTTGATTAGATTTATCAAAGAACAAGATACAAGTAAAGAGATATTACCCTCAATGCTGAATAATATTTGCGCTCTTCAACCAAATTATCTACTCGAATGGCCATATCAAGAATATGCAAACAAGATTGCAAGGTCTCTACAGCTTCATCTATATTTTTCTGAATTCTTCTCGTTTGAATAAGTTCTTTTTTCTAAATAAAAAATAAATAAATAAATATATATATATATTAAATTTATTTCAGTAACCTTTAAAAACATATCATTTATTGAATAATTAAAATAATTAATAAAACCAACCTTTACAGCAACTTTTTTCCCGGACTTTTGAACATCATAATTTAAATCAATTATCTTGTTTTTGAGATTAACTGTTCCTTGCCTAACTTTTAATAACTGATCTACAGAATGCACGAATTCCTACAAGTGAGAAAAAAAAAAAACAAGATTTAAGTTTGAATATAGAGTTTTCAGGTGACATTTTGACATTCGTAAAAAAAAAACTAAAGGTATAAGGTACCCACACAACTTTATTTTTTCACACCTGATAATTACTATTACACATGCGTTCTATCTCTCCTTCTTTTTTCCTCACGAAGACAGCCAATTGCTCGAGAAAAGCTTCTTGCCTATCAGTATCATAGATTGACTTGATTATTGGACCAAGTTGTTCAAGATTCTCATTCTCCGAATTTAACTCTGCAGATAAAACTAAAGATTGAAGTTGTTGCTGTTCGTTCTCTGACATTACAGTTTGAATTTTAGTTTACTCTATAAGAATATCATTTAAAAGTTTAATGAACTGTGTAACATATTTTTTCCTATTTTTCTTAATATTTTTTTTGTTACTATACATTTTTAAATTCATTTCTCAAAAAGAACTGTTGACAAATTGAATTGTATATAGATATTTATTATTATATTTATTAAAAAAAATTGAATAAATCTTTTCACAGAGAATTTTGATAGATATATATATATATATAAATAAAAATCTATGGAATCTTATTTCAAGAATTGTTTATATACTGGATTTTCTGTTTCATCCACATTAGAATATCCCAAATTATTTAAGAAGTTCTCAAAGTCTTCCGAATCTTGAGGAGGTACTTGAATTCCAACCAAAACTTTCCCCATATCTATAATATTTATTAGTAAAGATAATTGTATGTAGTGTGTGTAATATAATTCATTAATAATATTAATTAATATATATACCTGCACCATGATTGCGATAATGAAATAATGTAACATTCCAATTGGATTGTAATCCCAAGAGAAATCTTTGAAGTGCCCCGGGTCGTTCAGGGAATGCTATACATAAATTTATTTAAATTTTAGTCATTATTCATTACACATTAATTTACATTCCGGAATGTCGCATATCTCACCGAATCGATAAAGTCGTTCATTTTCAACCTTGCTTCTACCTCCAACTAAATATCTAGCATGACTTTTTGCCATTTCATTATCACTAATATCTTGTCCATTCATTCCATCAGCTTCTAAATTCTTTATAATTTGCGGAACTTCTTTTTCACGATTTTCAACCTTAAATGACATATAAATCCATGCTTTCTCTGAATCCGAATATCTAAATATTTTAATTATTTATAAAAGTTTAATCATTAAACAATTTTTTTTCCAAAATAAATGAAATTTTGTTACTACTAACCTATATGAAAACTCGGTTATTGGACGCGGATGTATGTGATTATAAAGTTTATAAAAACTGGTTTAAATTAAAAAAATTTGTTGGAATGATTAATAAAAATTTGATATACAGAATGCTTCACAAACATTCAATTTATTAATTTATTTATTTCACCTTCCAGGCTTTTCAGGTATAATTACTGAAATCAAAACTTCCAGTTGTTCTCCTAACTCTGCTCGTTCTGCAACAAATCTCAATCGTTCAAAATTCATATTCGCTCCCGATGTAATAGCCACGAAACATCCTCCTGTAATATTATTTTCTGCTATATATTTTTTAATGCCTGCAACAGAAAGTGCTCCGGCTGGTTCTACGATTGATCGGGTATCTATTCAACAAATTTTCCCATATATGATTAAATCGTTATTAAAACAGTAAACTTGCAAAACCGAAAAAAGTAACAATTTCGTGCCTTCAAAAATTTCTTTGATAGCTGCACATATCTCATCATTATTTACGTTAATCATTTCATCCACAACTTCACTACAAATTCTAAAAGTTTCTTCGCCAGTAACTCTAACTGCTGCACCGTCTGCAAATAATCCGACTTCATTAAGAACAACACGTTTCTTCTCTTCTAATGATAATGTCATAGCATTAGCATCATTTGTTTCCACTCCAATAATCTTAATCTTGGGACATATCCTTTTCACATAACTTCCAATACCAGCGATAAGACCACCTCCACCAACACATGCGAAAATGGCATCTATTTCGTCGATATTATGTTGACGAAGGATTTCCATCCCAATGGTTCCTTGACCAGCAATAACATAAGGATCATCATAAGGAGGAATATTGGTGAGTTTTTCTAATTCTGCTATACGCGTACATTCTCCTTTTGCTTCGTCAAAATCTGAACCGTGAAGAACTACTTTGGCACCAAAACGCTTAACATTTTGCCATTTAATCTCTGGTGTTGCACTGAGATCTCACAAGGAAAACCAATAAAAATGGATTATAAAATGTATGGAATAATAAATTATTTGTAATGTAAAGCATATTAGATTATTGGTGTATACATTAAAAAAATAGGATATAAGATTAATAAATATTATCATACAGTGGCATCACAATAGTTGCTGAAAGACCGAGATGTTTAGCAGACATTGCAACCCCTTGAGCATGATTTCCTTTTTTTTAAAAAATAATAGTAGACAATTAATATTATTAATAAAATAATAAATAAAATTCACATAATAATAATTCCATAGATCTTTAATATACCGAGAGAGATTCGTCTAATAAATATTGAATAAAGTAAAAAATTGACTCATGATCTTATTATATGGTTTAGGGTAAGCACAAAAAAACGTACCAGCAGAACATGCGATAACTCCTCTACTTCTTTCCTCTTCAGATAAATGAGAAATCTTATTATAAGCACCTCTAATTTTGAAAGAAAAGACTTCTTGCAGATCCTCTCTTTTTAACATAATTTTATTATTAGTTTTTGCTGAAAGATTTGTGGCATATTGTAAAGGAGTTTCTTTAACAATTTCATAAACTCTTGAGGTAAGAATTAATCGTAAATAGTCGGGATCGGAACTTGATGAAAAATTAGAATTAGCATTTAATTGAAGAGGAGAGGGATTGATATTAGAAACAGAAGAATCGGAAGTATGATCCTCTTGAGAATTTGTTTGAAACATATCGAAATTAATGAAATCTAAATCAAAATCTCAAATCTCAGATGTGTTGATCCAATCAAAAATTAGTTAAATTAGTTATGAATCCATATGCGGAACTCATTCCAGTAGCACAAATAAATATTTTTAAAGAAAATGTCCACTATCAACGCCTTATCCACACCTCCACCCTCACCTCCATCAATTTTCACTAATAACAAAATTTCTACCAAAATAATTTCTTCTATTAATCCAAATTTTTCAGTAGATATTCTGGCCGATAATGCCCGGGAATATACAGTTACTTCAGATCAATCGTTTCTGGGGCTTTTTGATGTGTATGCATTTGTATTTACACTTGCGATTGGATTGATGGTGAGCAATTGTTTGGAAGCGGGAATTTCTATTGATGATAAATTACGAAGTAAAGAGAAATACTTTTTTTTTTAATATTTTCGAAAGTAAATTGATTGTATTTCTCTGGATAATTAATAAAAAAAAAAAAATAGAACAATACAGCAGCTTCATATTCAATATTTACCATAATGATCGTAATTTGGTTATGGACCAAATTTAACATTGTTAAATCTGGTAATAATTTATCTTTAATTTATCTTTAATCTATCTTTAATCTATCTTTAATTTCATTTTTTAATCTAACTTAATTTTAATTTTAATTTATCCTTTAATCTATTTCTATTTAATCAAATTAATTAAAACATAACTATTTTTTTTTACAATTCAACTCTGGTAATCAAAGAAAGTATATTATTAATAAGAGATGTAGGAGTACAGGTGAAAACTGTTTATTTGAATGGTAGAATTGTTTCCAAATTTATAGATAAAGACAAGATTTCAAATATAGTGATTAATGAAGGAATTACAATTTTACAAGTGAAATTTTATATGGCTATACTTGTTGAGGAAGCAGATCGAATGGTTGTGGTATTTCAGGTATGTTTGTATTAATAAATTGTATATTATTTATTTATCATTATTTTGTAATTAATTATTTTTGTAATTATTTATAAATATTTTATTTAAAAAAAAAATCTCTTGTTATGAATTTTTTAATACTCTTATTCTTATAATTAGCATTTATTACCAAAACTAAATGTATTGTTACAAGTTTATCAAGGTACAAGATCAATTATATTTAATGAAATGGAAGAGGATTCTTGTGAAGCAGATTATTTTAATTTCAAATAAATAAATAAAAAATATATATATATATATATATATATTCAATTATGTAATTCTCACAATATTTACAGTATTTACAACAATATTCAACAGTATTTTACAATATCAACAATATTCAGCAATATTCACAATATTGATTAAAATATTTATAAAACCAATAATTTACCGCCAATAACTTATTATTATGATTTTAAGGTTATTAAGACAGGTTAACATTGTACATGTACAAAATTAAATCTTAATTTATTATCTCATTTAACTAACAATTAATACATTAATACATTAATACATTAATACATTAAATATTAAACTTGTAAAACTTAAATATGAAATGACTAGGTGACACTGGGTGACACGCGTACACACAGTCACGATATAATAATGTAAACAAATGAATCACGTGCATTTGTGTCACTATATGATTATAAAAATGTCACTTCCTGGCAAAATAGCTTGTCAGTGTTGATTGCAAAAAAAGAAATATGGCAAAAATTGAGATAATAGAATCGCCATTCGAAAGTCTTGATCTTGCTGAAGACCAACGTTCGAATAAAATTTTCTCTTCAATATTAAAAACACTATTGGTTAATGATAATCGTTATATGACTGCAAAGGAAATAGTAGGTAAGAAATCTTTCACTTTTTTAAAATTGATTTCATTTAAAACTTGTTATTCAAAATGAAACATTATTTTACTGAACTTATCTTTTTTTTTATATTTCATACCAGCGGGAATACATAAATATGAATTTACGAGACTCGGGTGTGTAAATCCTCGTCGAATTCTTGGCACGACTTATTGTTCTTTTTTTGTACTCGTGTCAAGATTCACTAATTACTGCTGAATAAACAGGGGACTTACGCCGCAAGCTACCGTTCAGGGTAACATTTCTACAGCTATTTCTATGGCAATATCAAAGAAGCGTCCAACTCCAATTGAAAAACGTAAAATGGAGCCAACTGGAACGGGTTATCGAATTGCTCGGGCTTTATTTCCTCAAGAATCAAAATTTCTTTCTCTAATGGATTCGGATCCTCCGGATCCTTCCCCAAGTATCATTAAGAAAAAGATTCGAATTAAAGTTAATAACCGAAAGAAATCAAGAGTACATAGAAAACCCAAGAATGGAAATATACGATCTTATGATAGTAATTCTGATTTCGAAGAACGAATCTCAAAAAGAAGGGGTATAAAAGTATCCGAAGATAAAGTACCCGTAGATAATGTCATTGTTGATTTGTCTTCAGAATCTTTAGAAGGGAATGAGTATGTTATTGATATTATTATTATTATTATTATTTCATTTTAAATTATTATTCTTATTGTTATTTATTTATTTAAAATTTTTATTTATTAATATTTTTATTTATTAATATTAAATTTATTATTAATATTTTATTCAAAAAAAAAAGAATCGATGAGCACAACTCATCATTTTTGAAAGCAAATGAACCATCGGATTTTAAGATTGATATGTCTATCAATCCAATTTCATTTGCTATTGCTCAAGAGACTGGTTATTCTTATCCTCGATTTAGAAGTAGCCCTAGAAGGAGATATGCAAAGACAAAATGTGAAGATGCATTTTGTGTTAAAGATTTATATCATTTAGATGGTTCATTCTTATGTAGATTATTTTGTTTAGCAGATGGTCATGGAGGTTCGGGATGTTCAGCATTCTTAACAACTCGAGTTCCGGATTGTGTAGAAAGTATGTTACGTCTTTATGAGCCAAACCAATTAGATGATTATTATGAACAAGAAAAATTTAAACAAGATATGACTGATTTAATCAGAGGTCTTGATGAAGAATATTTGAATGCTAAACGAGAGGAATACCGCAGTTGGCAGGCCCACGATGTTTCAGCAGAACCAGTTGATGATGGAGCAACACTTGTTATAAATTTATTCTTTGGTGAATGGTTCATCAATATAAATGTTGGAGATTCACGAACCATTCTTGCAAGTAAATCAAATGACAAGTGGATTGTTGATTTCGCAAGTGAAGATCATAAACCTTTCCTTGAACGTCTTGCATTAGAAATATTCTCGAACGGAGGGATTTTTGTGGATAGTCAAGACAAACCTATAAGATTTGATCCATCACCTCAAGATCGACCAATTAGAATGAATTTGAAGAATGCACGTATTAGATTACAAAATGCTGATAATGATCTCGGAGTGCCATATAAAAAAAATAATGGAAATAATTGGTCGCTCAATGTTGCGGCAACTTGTGGAGATTTACTTTTCAAATTGAATCCATCTAAACCAGTGATAAATTGTGTACCTGATATTTATTTCAGTAAACTTGGAGAAATTCCGAATCCAACAGATAAACGATTTATATTGATGAGCACTGATGGACTATTTGATCATTTATATCTTTCAAAAGCGGATATGCAAAATCAAGTAATTTCTACACATGTAGGTACAAAGCTTGACTCTGGAGAACATATCAAAAACATTGTCATGCACCTTTGTAATAGGGAGGGTGATCGTAGTTTATTTGAAAATACTTTACAAGAATATGACGATTGCACGTGCATATTAGTATCCTTATAAACTTTCTATTAGTTCGATTAGTTTAGTTTGTTCGATTTGTTTGATTTGTTTGATTTGTTTACTTGTATCAGAAAAAAATAATAATAATAATAATAAGATATCCAAGAAAATTCATGTTAAATGTACAAATTTATTAATTACATCAAAAATATAGATTGTATTTCTGATCAAATTATGCGATATATACACTTTATTGTATAATAAAAAAAAATTATTTATTTTTTTGAACTAATGAATTTTGGTGAAGGTTGTGTTGTAATTTTATCTACACATTGGGTATATTATTCTTTCAACAAAAAAAAAATACATATATTAAATTTGGGATTGATGTCATGTGACGTGACTTATTCTAGAGATGTAATTATCGCAAAAAAAATAAAATAAAAAAAAGATAAGATTTTTGTCCTTTGCAAAAATGACTAATTTTTTATCATTTCAATATTCTTTCTTTAAAAGTAAAAACTTTTCCAAATATTATATATTCTTATCAAATTTTAAAATTAATCAAATTTATAATAAAAGAAATGTTAGCATTATTATTAATAAAAATTTTTCAAGAAGGAGCAAATTTATCAGTTCAAACAATAATTTTATTAAATTTAATAACAATGAGAAGTTATATAATAATAAAAAGAGTTTTGTGACAATTTTAGCAAAAAATCCCGAGTACTGCAATTTTGATGTTATAGTTGTTGGTGGTGGGCACGCTGGTTCAGAAGCTTGCGCTGCTGCGGCTCGAGTGGGTGCTAAAACTTTATTGGTTACACAAAGACTTGATACTATAGGTAACATTCAAAGTTATAGTAATATCATTAAATTTTTATTATATATAAAGATAACTATATAATTATTATAATTATTATTCTATTAATTATTATTATTTTATTTTTATTATTATTATTATTATTATTATTATTATTTTATTATTATCATTAAGGCGAAATGTCATGTAATCCATCTTTTGGGGGAATTGGTAAAGGAATATTAATTAGAGAAATAGATGCATTAGATGGATTATGTGGTAGAATTTCTGGTTTGTAATAAAATTGTTATTTATTTTATCCTTAAATTTCTTCATGAATATTATTATTTATTAATAATTTAATAGATTTAGCAGGAATCCAATTTCACATTTTAAACAGATCAAAAGGTCCCGCAGTACATGCAAGTAATTTATATAATTATAAAATTACTGTTGATATTAACTTTTTTTTTTCTTCATGATGATGATATTTAAATTCTATTTTCATTTTTTTTTTAATCAAGGGTCCAAGAGCTCAGATAGATAGAAAGTTATATAAGAAACATATGCAAGAATGTTTATTTAATTATCCTAATTTAAAAATAAAATCCGAAAGTGTTCAAGATCTTGTTATTGAATATAATCCATTAATTTCGAGTGGACCAGATAATGAAAAAATTTATGGAGAAGTTCGAGGAATCAAATTGGGTATATTTCAAAAAAAGAATATAGGTTATGGATGAAAATTCATTATTTAAATTATCATTTGCTACATATACATATAATATATATATATAGATAATGGAGAAATCATATATGCATCAAAAGTAATTATTACTACTGGCACTTTTCTTCAAGGAGAAATTCATATAGGTAACACATACACATTAGTTATTAATAATAATAATAATGATAATAATAATGTAAATCTAAATCCTTGTGTTAATTATTTGAAATAAGGTAGAGTAATTTATCCGGCAGGAAGATTTGAAGAAGCTCCATCATTGGGACTTTCTAGAACTTTAGAATTGGCCGGGTTTAAACTTGGGAGATTGAAAACAGGTTTAATGATTAATCTTAATGTTTTATTTTGTTATTTCATTTTATTTTAAGTAATTTTCTTTTTTTTTACATTTAAGAATTTGGTAATCTTGGTTTTTATTAGGAACACCACCAAGATTAGATGGTAAAACCATAAATTATACAAATTTAAGAAAACAAATTGGAGATATGCCAGCTACACCCTTTTCTTATCTTCATACTTCTGTTCCACATGAGGTATTACAAAAATTCATTTATTACTATTTATTATGATAATAATTATTATTATAATAATTATAATTATTGTGAAAAATATAGGCAAATCAAGTAAATTGTTATCAAACCAGGACAAATTCAAATACCCATAAAATTATTAAAGATAATTTATCTCAATCAATTCATATTCGGGAAACAGTAAAAGGTCCAAGGTATTTAACAAAAGAAAAAATTCCATTATTTATTTATTTTATTATAATTTTTTATTATATTATATTTATTTGTTATATTATGTTTATTATATTTATTATTTATTTGGTCAAAAGATATTGTCCATCAATTGAATCGAAAGTCATAAGATTTACAGAGAAAAAATCTCATATCATATGGCTCGAGCCTGAAGGTATTTTTTTTGACTTTAATTATTATGTGCGCATCATATATATATATATAATATAAATTATATACATTTATATTTTAGGTCTTGATACTAACGTAATTTATCCAAATGGAATATCTGTAACATTGCCTGAATCTATTCAATATCATATGCTCAGAACAATCGAAGGATTGGAAAATGTAGTAATGTTAAGACCCGGTATTATTATTAAATATTATTAAATATTATCTATTAAGAACATTTATTTTTTCTGATTGGAGCTATTAATATATATATATATATATATAATGTTTATCGTATAATAGGATATGGAGTAGAATATGATCATGTGGATCCTAGGGAACTAAAACCGACTTTAGAAACTAATCGTGTTAAAGGGTTATATTTAGCGGGACAAATTAATGGAACCACCGGATATGAAGAAGCTGCAGCGCAGGTAGATAAAAAAAAATTTTTTTTTTTGACTTTTTAAGAAATATATTTTTAGGGGAGGTATGTTTTTAATATTTTAAAAACCAAACTTTAAGGGTATTATTGCTGGAATAAATGCCGGTCGTGCAGTTCAAAATCTAACACCATTTATACTTAGTCGAGCGGATGCATATATTGGTGTGTTGATAGATGATTTAATAACAATGGGAGTTGAAGAACCTTATCGGATGTTTACATCTCGTTCGGAGTATCGTTTGTCACTTAGATCTGATAATGCCGATGTAAGATTAACACGTAAAGGTTTGATCATTTTTATTATACTTAATTTGATTATATCTTTATTATATCTTTATTATATTATAATTTTTATTAATAGGTTATGAAGCGGGATGTATATCTGAATATCGTTGGAAATGTTATCAAGAAACCGAAGAACAGCTTCGCAAAGGGACAGAAATATTACAAAAGTATTCATATTCACCACAAAAATGGAATTCTTTGGGAATTCGTGTTGTCCTCGATGGTGTTATTAGAAAGTATTTATTGGATTTATTTATTATTGGATTTATTAGATTTATTTATTTATTGGATTTATCGTATTCAATAAGTGAATTAGCTTAATATATTTCATAATAGTGCTATAGATATAATTGGATCTCGTCATATAACTATAGAAGAATTGACACGAATACTTCCTGAATTATCAGAAATCAAAAATTCCGTACATAAAAGATTAGCAATTGAAGGTTGAATTCTTTCATTAAATACATATTTTTATTTTGGCATTTATATATTTATATTTATATATCTATATTTATATTTATTGATTGATATTTTCTTCAAAAATATTCATTATAAATAGCAATCTATAAAGAATATCTAGAGAAACAAGAACTCGAAATACAAGCATTTAAGAAAGACGAAGAAATAATAATCCCTGTTGATTTAAATTATGATACGTAAGAATTACATAATTAATATTATATTATATTTTGTTTGAAAATATTTCTAAAATCATTTTTTAATGTGTTATCAAAATTTGGTAGTATAAAAAATCTATCAATAGAGACCAGATCAAAGCTTAAACTAATTAGACCTAATACTCTTGTAAGCTAATTAATATTTTTAATTTAATTTAAATTATTTTTTTTTTTTTGATTATTTAATTATTTATCAATTTCAATATATATTTATATTATAGGGTGCAGCAAAAAGAATTGATGGAATGACAGCGGCAAGCTTAATAACATTAATGAAGTATATTCAAAAACAAAAGAATATTAGAATATAAATTATTCTTTGAAATATTTTTCATACATTAACTAACGATCACGGATTAGGGGGGAGCTTTGTTTCAACAAAGTAAAAACATATCGGTATATCAAATACTGTTTTAGCTTCATTTTTAAAGTGATCCTTTTCCAAAAGGGATTACAGTATTACTTGTCATTAATTAATTAAATAATAATATATTTTATTGATTGTTAGAAATTATGATCTTTGGATGCATAAAATTTTAGAGTTAATATCATAATTTATTATATAATTTATTATAGAACAAACAGCTAATAAAATACATGTTTTATAATTTGTGTTTCACTTAATTTAGGTAATTATTCATGAGTTCTGTTGATTCTCCATCTATTTCAGGAATTCCATTATCAAAAATGTCTCTCAATCTTACATATTCAGTTAACATTTATTCATCAACTTTAATTGCAGATGGATCAAATAATGTAATGTTTGTAATGTTTATGATTTCCATGATGGTGATCGACTTAAAGCAACATAAGTTTGACCAACAGCAAATATAGATTCATCAATTGAGATCGTGGAATGAAATAATATTAATCCTTACGTTTTGTACACGGTTAAAGCAAATACATTTTGTAATGGAAATTGTTTTTGTTGTGCATGGGAACCAAACCATGTATGTTGGACTGTTTCTTTAATAACTTTTGTGCAAAAAATTCCTTAATACTACACCAATGGAGCCATTGTACAATCCATCTGAAAATAATCGATTATGTAAGAACATGACCTTAGCTCCTTGTACTAAAGTAACTATAGATGGAAAATTTATGTAACTTTGGAATAATTTATTATCACCCGATGAGATCCATACTTGATCATTGATATAATCAATAGAATAAGAAATTAGTGGTGTTATTTGTAGGTAAGAAGTTTTTAATATAATTATTTAAAGTATCTGCAATTTTGCGATATCCTGCAATATATATTGTTGCTAATGGATTATTTTGAGATGTAGATATTTTTGAGTTTATTAAATTAATTGTTGATTGACTAAGATTAATAACAAAAAAAAATTTCGGATAATCTTACTCGTTAATAAATTCACCCGAGTCTAGTAAACGTTCATGTAAATGTGCCACATTGAAATATTCTATTATTTTCTCTTAATTCCGTTTGTATCCAAATAAAAGAAATTCATAATTTTATTCATAATTTGCAAGCAGCACATATCCAGTTGTTTTTGTGTTGGGATCTTGTCGACTACTCCTATATTCATAATTCAAAATTTGTTTTAATCTTTTTTCACCCTCCTCACCTTTAAAGGTACAACGATACTTTCTTAATGCTGAATTGTAACGAAAAGAAGTTTCACTTTGAAATAGGATCATACCTCCTTATATGGAATAAAAATTATAGGGATAACAGGAATGAATTTGGTTATAGTTAATTATAATATATTCAAAATCGATCTACTAGTTGACACACGTTTTTCGTTTGTCTAAACTATCCGCATTAAAGCTATCTTTGAATCTTTGATTCACAAACATATATGATCACAAAAACATTTTTAATCGTTACATTCGTTACTCAGGCAAAATTGATTTATTAGATATTTTTTTTCGCTGATCATGAATTTTAATAAATCTATTGTGACTTTTATTACGTATTAATTCACTAGATTATACTGTATATTATTATGAAATATTTTTAATATTTTAGCAATAAAAAAAATGAACATCCAGAACAGCATTGTCCTGGATTGCCGATATCACATGTTTCTAAAGATGGAATACATGTAAATAAGGTGCTAGTAGTGACGGTGGTGAAAGGTGGTAAGAGAGGTAAATGTTTTGGTTGAAACTGGAGGATATGGCAAGTAAACGGCTGGTGTGCAACAGACGACCGCTGTACATTTTCCACGATTCTTATAGATTTCATGGATACGTTCATCAGGAATGCAGACAATATTTTCAGATCTCTTTACTGAAAATGTATACCAAAATGAAGTGGAAGTACTTGTAGAGATAGTGGTTCTAGTGGTTGTAGTAGCCGTGATAGATGTAGATGTGGTAGTGGTAGAAGTGTACCCTGGGCAGGATTCGATCAAATAAAGAGGAATAGAGAGAATTGATTTTTAACGTTTAAATAACTGAATTTCCTTTGATTTGGTTGTACAAATTAAATTATTGTCAATGGTGCTTTTACATAATTTATTTTGGTCAAAATATTAATAGATGTCACCACTACTACCCGATTGACATGTATACTTTTTATCTGCTACTGCTATGCTTTTGATCGAGAATTCAAATTCTATTAATTTTGAATTATAATTATATTATTATTAGAAAAAGCTCTTATGATTAATTAATAAGCCCTAGAATATAAAGTTCTTTTCGAATAATTTCTTGAGGGTCTTTGTTATTATACCAAATATAGAATAGATAAATATCGTTTTCTTTGCATAATTCTCTTTTAAGTTGATCCCGCTCTTGTTGTTTGATAAAGTTATTCGGATCTCCTTTATGAAGGAATTCGATATACCTTTCATGTTATTTTCCATGTACTTCAATTGCAAAACCATATTCAAGATAAAATATATCAAGTTCTAATCCTGCAGGATATTCTGATGTTTTAAGAAGATATTTTTGACACAATCTCTACATAAATTTTCTCTCTTATATTTCGAACAGTAGGGGCACCATGTTTTATAATACTTTATATTAGCAAGAGTACTATACCAAATATGATTTTATTACATTTCCAAAGTAAACGTGTTTTAAGATTATTATATATATTCTCCTTTTTACTACGTGCTAATTCCTTGGCACATCCAATACCAAGTCTTTCGGATTCTTTACGGCAATATGGACACAAACTACCTTTTTTTATTGTATCAATTAGAGTATACCATGAATGACCTTTAGAGAAACTCCAAAGTAATGGAGTACGTTTGTTAATATAAAAATTAGAAAGACAAACCCTTTCTATGTGCAAGATTTTGCGCAAATTCAAGTCCAAGTTTCTTACATTCACGACACCAAGTGCCCTCGTTTTTAACATGTGCAAGAGATGTATGAAATTTATGTCCATTTTCACATTCCCACAATAGAGGCAAATTATTATTAATATATTCAGAAATGCATTTTCCGTTTGCAATTTAGCTCTGTGTACATTCACAATTTTTGTTACGTGCTAATTCTTTAGCAACTGAAATATTAAGTCTAGTATCTGAACAAGTAGGGCGCCACGTTTTACCATTTTTTATACAATGAAAAGTAGCAGTCCATTCATGTCCCTTTATACACTTCCAAAGAATTGGGGTTCTACTGTTGATATATTTTTTAGAAAGACATTTTCCTCCGCAAGATTCAACTATCTTTATTGCATCATTTAAAGATAATTTTTTAGGCATTGTGGTTAGTAATTATTTGTTTTTAATAATTATCCTACTTTCTAATTCTTATTTATAATAAACTAAATACTTATGGAATATTATACTCTATATAAACCAGATACATTATTAAAAAAACAAAGTAATATTTTCTGTCCTACTTTTCCTTTTCAGACTCCTAGTATGTGGAACCTCTGAATCTGGAAAAACGAGTATGATTGTATGGATGCTTCTTGGTGATAAATATTTAAAATTATATCCATATATGTTTGGTAAAAAACGTAATTATAAAAACCCAAATAATGGTAATTTTGGTAAAAGATATATTCCGTGTGATGATTTAATCGTTATTGCACAACATTAAGATGAAGAATAGTAGAAAATTTTTATAATTTTATATCTAAGGATCTTATTAGGTCAGGAAGACATCATAATATAAGTTCAATCTATATCTCTCAACATTTTTTTGAAATCCATTCAAAATTTAACTTATATTCGTGAATGTGGAACATTAGATAGTATAAAACATATTTTGAAAGATATGTATGATGATTATGAATCTTTAGCAAAAAAAGTTTATGAAGTAATAAAAAACATTATGTATCTAGTTATTGATATCCGAAAACCATCGGATGATCCACTCAATCCGATTTCGTTGGGATAAGATCTGATTAACTAAAATATTACAAGGAATATTGGGACCATTATTTCTTCTTTATTTATCACTTTTGATACTTTTTATTAAATATTAAAAGCAATTATTTGCGACATTAAATAATATCGTAACACTATTCTAAACATAATATGATGGAGAAATCAACATATCAGAAAGCATTAATAATTGATCTTCCGTAAATTGTTTCATATCTTCGTGCCATGAATCCTGATGTGTTCTCCTAAAGTCTGCAAATGTTTTTTTCACAGTAGTCTACAGAATGTAAAAATTAAGAATGAAGAATAAATAATGTGAATAAAAGAAGGAAAAAAAAGTTTATTTTATTTATAATTTTATAATACCTGTATTGGAACCGGATCTGAGATATAATTTGCCAATTTCACCAAAACTTCAGGCATCCATTTAGGAACTTCATACGGGAAAGCATCAATCAAGCACGATAAACCCAAAACTCCCGCATGACGAGCAAGTACTGCCTCCTGAAATCCTGGAGGTAGTGTTGCACGAGGAGCCTGACCCGTACGCTTTCTTGGTGGAATCTTAGTATCCAGTAATCGAGTAAATTGATTCTAAATAATAAAAATATTAAATAATAGTAAAATATAATAAAATCAAACATGAATTTTGAATCAGAATAAAAAAAAAAATCACCTTTAAAGAAGCTATTGCATCTCTTTGTGAACATCGTATTAAACCAGATAATGTCACTGCCGCTAATTGACGAACCTATGCATATGGTTAAATATTATTAGACTATGATGAATAAATATGATTTATAAATAATGAACAAAACGAAAGTCATTTTTAATCACCTCGATTTGACTATCTTTTAATTTCCCGGAAACTACATCCATTACTTTGATCATCTTTTCTTCGCTTAGCATAAACAAATGTTTAAAGAAGAAAACTTGTAATACTGGAAGAGCTTTTACCCTTACATGCCAACTTGGGGTCTCAGTTAAAATTTCAATAAATTTTTCAATCATTGAATCCACCATATCCGGAGGGTAGGGAAAGGATGCGATTATATTTAATATGTGCGTTGCAGCTGCTTGCAAGTCTTGATCATCATTGACATCTTGCATCGAAAATACCGAAGGTAATATGGGAATAATTAAAGGATAGGTGCCAGATGCTTGCCATACAGTAAGAGCATCATAAAGCCATGCAAGCACTTTATTTGAAAATATTTGAAAATATAAAAATCATTTAAAGATTTTGTATACCCTTATTTAAAATAATATATTAATAAATATACCTGTTTTACTAGCGTTCACATATTCAGAGGATCCAGCCGAAGTTGGCTTTTTCTCTGCTCTCCATTCTTCTAATGATTTTACTAATCCTCGTATTATTATTTCCTGTAAATTGTTAGGTAAATTGGCAGGAACAAATCCAATTCCATTTCCATTTCCACTTCGAAGATTATTTTCAAGAATTTCATCAATATTACTGGCTGAGGGATGCCATTGTATTTGTAGCAATATGTTAATATTGGCCGCCAATATGTCACGTACTTGCTTATAAGGGTGACGAATATTTCTAAAATAAAGATCAATCAATGATTGAGATTTTGGTATGATTCGCCATGAGAAAGAACTAATGAATGTATTAATAAAAAATAGTTTCTTGGCTTCTGCAAACGAAGCATGAGAAGCAGGGTCTAGAGGTGTATTATAAATAAGATCAATAAGAGGAAGAACACGCCGAGGGTCACGATTCCGCTAATAAAACATTTCAAAATGATTGTATTAGATATAAATATATAGAAATATGGTATTGTTTAATATTTGAAGATAAGATAAAATAAATTCGTACGAAACAATATCCCAAGAATCTTTCCCAATAAACGAGAGAATCTGGTGTGATAGAATTGAAAGTAGGCCTTATTACGGATATTAACCAATCCCACAAGGATTGTAATCTTTTTAAACTCCAATGCTTGCTTCCTCTTATAAGACCAGCCAAAATTTCGGATGCAGCACGTTGTTGATTCTTTTCAGCTGATTCACATAACTTCACTATTTCTGGTTTTACAATCTCTAAAAATACATCTTCATAAGTTTGAAAAATACTTTTAAAAAGGTGTGCATTAATCATAGAGAAATTATCGTCCCTATCACGCGAAGATTCTTGTGATAAATAAGATAATAAGGCAGACCAAAACGCTGATGAATTAAAACTTTCAAGAAATTTGTTGAAAGCGTTTTGACATGAAGGATCAATATTGGGCATTAAACTTGTCGAAGTACGCGGAGAGTATACAGTTATTGTATCAGACCAGACATACCAACCCATATTGGTCTTGTCCTGAAGAAATCTATCATAAAAAAAATAATAATAATACATATATGTGTATATATATTTGAAACGAGTTATAAAAGATGGGAATGCTAGACATTTAATTAAAACTTACGTGTTTTCTGCATTACTCTCATTAAGTGGAGTTAGACTTGAAACTAAATATTTATCTGTATAATCCTCAGGCAAGGGCTTTGGGACATCAATTGTTTTTTTCAAAGGATTAACCATTTTACTCATTGTTATTAAATCAACATCTCCTCCTGAGCTGAATGTTCTTTGTTTCATATGGAACAAAATTCTTGTAGTTGTTGATACTGCAATACGTCTCAAACCCGGAAGTTCAGAAATTAACCCATTAACAGCAAATTCAGCTAAATCCGATGTTGGTTCAGCCTCTGGACGTACTAAAAGATCCAAAAAATTAGCAGCCATCGAAGCGAAACGCCAGTGAAGAGTATTAGATTTGACCAAGGATAAAAGAGTATTAACCTAGTAGATGATAAAATAAAAAGAACAATTAATATTTAATCAAACAATAAGTATTCGCCAAAAAAATTTAATTCTAAATCATGTACCAATTCAAAATATTTAATTTTCTGTAATCGCATTCTTTCTTCAGTTTTAAGTCTAATGTTTTCAAACTTTTCTTCATTTAAAGACAAAGAGTGTGCTTCCAATATTTGACATATTGCATTATCCAACCCATCAGTAAGTATTGTTTTAAATGCCGTATTATTATAATTCATGAGATAGTCATAAAAAACTTTACGAATCATTTCTTGTACAGAAATCTAAAATATAATTGGAGAACATTTCAATACAATTTTATAAATCAAAGGTAAGTCAATATTCAAAAAACCAAAAACCATTTTAATTTATATATTTATATACCTTATCATCATGTTGAGCTTGGCATATGCTAGTAATAAAAGAAGGCACAAATCGCCAATCTCTTAAACATGTATACATATAAGTACGTGATCCTAATAAATAGAGGGCACCTTTCATTCTTTCTGAATTTGGAGTTCCTAAAAAAGGGTGACCAAATTTTTATAATAAATTTTGATGATCAATTTAAAACAAAATGATAGAGTATAAAGCATACCACTAGGTTTTAAAGCCTTCAATAAGATAGGGATAATGAGAGGCTTTGCACCAAGGAAGCAACGTGATGCATTAGTGAGATAAGATTGTGCTATTCTGTAAAAAAAAATAAAAAATAAAAAAATTAGACATTCCTCGGTAAAATCAAAATACATAACCAATGTAATGAAAAAATCATACTTTCTAATTTCCGAGTAAGAACTTAATGATAATTCAACCAAATCTAAAAGCAAATTATCGTGCAATTTTGTTCTTCGTCTACCGAAAGCATTTTGTTTTAGACGACATAAATGATGTTGATAAGCTCGTTTGACTAGAATGGAAAATGAATTAAAAGAACGATCAAAAGTCTTTAAGAAAAAAAAAAATCTATGCAAGTAATTTTACCTAACAAATAGCGAGGATACTTTTTATCGTGATGAGCTGTCTTGAGCATCCCTTTAGCATATTGATAACCTCGTTTGCTCGCGTCATATTTGGATTTTTCAACACCTCGATCTGTAAGATAAATCTTTATCATCTAATGCATGTTAAAGAAAATTGAAAATAAATAACAATTTTATAATTCATAATAAAAAATTTTGATGATATATCGAAAAGAAATATAGACGAACTTTGAGAAGAATTTTTAAACTATCCACATCATCCTCCCGTGAGTTTCGGAAATATAAAACCAATTTATGCAAAAATTCTCCCAAATCTTTTCTCATTTGTCTAACAATCTTCCTGCGTGGATCATTCGGATCGGTAAAGCAATAACCCGAGGGTATACTTTTTGTTGGATGAACGGCTTCAGTCTCATCATCTCTATAATGTCAAAATCTGGTTAAATCCTATTCTCAGATTCTTTCGGCGGAGACATCAGCTTCAAAAATTACTTGTAATCCGAGATTTCAACGTCACCATCATCTTCGACCAATGTGGTCATTCCACTTAGACAATTCCGAATAATACTTAAACGACGACAAAATTCATGAGTCATTTCCCGATTACTCAACACTTTCCCATCTTCATCTGTTCCATTATCCATTAAATTTTGAATCCTTTCAATAGTTGGGCGTAAGAAATTATCCAATAATTCCATTGCAAAGTCCAATTCTGATCCGGACGGAATGTGCCAATCAACGTTGATATTTTCCGGATCACCGGGTTCAGCCCAATATTTGTGATGATTTTTTTGATAATCTGAACATAATATTACTCACTTTTAATATATATATATATATATATTTTGAAAATGTTAATTATTAAATATTTATTAAAATTTATTATTTACCTTCAGAATTCCAACGTTGTGGGTTAACACTGCGACATTCCAAAGGATATATTTGAGTTAATGAAACCAACATCATTCTCAAAAATTTTCCAGTCCACATGTATCCTTTTCTCGAACGACATTTCTGTACCATCATTTTAGCAAGATCCAAAAGATCATTTTTATGATTAAGTAAAGCAACACCACTTGACATGGAAACATGATATAAGATACATTGATACCAATGAAGGGTGGTATCAGATTGTATATGGTGTGTGGATGAAGTTGTTGGTGTAGATGAAGCCCCATGTTGTAATTCAGTTATAATATTTGAACGGCAAAGTGGAATAAATTGAGCAAGAGCTTTTTGTCTATTTGGACTTGTAAGGGTAGAACATAAGTACCCTATTTAAATTAAAAAGTTATAAATTATTTAAATAAATTAAAAATTAAAATTATTAAATTTCTAGTTTTCATTCTTGTTTTTTTTTACCCATAGGTTTTGTAGCATTTTGAAGTATAGTTGTAGAAGCAAAAGTGATAACCATTTTCAGTGTCATATCTTGAAGATGTTCGGACATTTGGTAACCCACAATTTCACAGGCGTGCTAATAATAATGTGAATAATTATGTGAATTAAATATATAAATTTAGTAATACGCGATGATTCAAATTTATTCTTACCAACAACACAGTTACTAAACCAGTTTCCATATTATATAGATTCATTTTTCCACGATCATTTGAAGGAAGGTATTCAAACTAATGTTCAAATAGTAATAGTCTAAAGTGAAGGAACAAATTTGATGAATTGGCAAATGATAATTATAAATAAATAAATATATATATGCAAAGGATACAATAGTGAAAACTCTTCTTAAAAATTTTGCAAGCCATTCTTCAAATTCAGCTGTACTTGCTTTACACCTAGCTGATTCTTCTTCTTCGTCTATTTCCATATTATCTTCTTCCCTTTCATCAATATCCATACCAGACCATTGAAATTCGGACAAATTTGCATTACCTTCTGTTAAATCGATCAAAGGAACGCCCATAATGGAATGGGTCAAGAAGATTAATGACGAAATCGTTTTAATTGGGTCATTCATATCAATACCAGGGATTGTTAAGTGAAGTAGAGGAGCAAGATGTTTGCCACCAGATGGGTAATGGGAACGAGAAAAGAGCGGAATAGCCAGCAATGAAAGTGCTGAAATCGAGGAAGTTGTCCTATGGGTCTAAAATAAATCATTCTTCAATAATAAACAATAATAAAAATAATAACAATAATAACGATAATAGGATTCAAACCTCAGTCAAAGTAACCAATGAGGGATAAACACGTTCTAATAATCCAGGAAATATTAAAGAAGGTTCTAACCCTGTGAAAAATTTATCAATTATTATAAAATATATTAAGGATAATTTATTTATCAAGAATTACTTGTTACTTAACGAAAAACATTATTTTCGTGGTTTGTCAAAGGATACAAGACAAATATTTTAAAGCAGCTTGACTTGATCCAACTGATAATGGATCTTTGCCAAACATAGACAAGAATGTAACCCCTCTCAAGATAAGGACAAATTGACGCCTAAGTTCTGGCGTTAATCTTCGTGACATGGGAGTTTTACATTCAGGTTTATGTTCTGTATTAATGTCAATTGAAAATCAAGAATATAAGTAAATCAAGAGATAGATAAAAATAATTAAAATAATTAACATAATGTATATATATATTCATATATATATTTTTTTACCGTCTGTCCAACGCTTTAAAAATTCCCAACCAAGAAACTGTAAAAATCTTACAATGGAAAATGTCCATCTTCCAAAATTACTTGGATGATAGAAAGATTCTGTAGCTTGAATCATATCCCCCAAATATGTGAGAACTGATTCCTCTTTTTGATTACCAGAAGGAGGAAAAGTTGAATAAACTATAAATCTGGCGAACATTTTAAATTTATCCTATATATAGATATATTTTATTTATTTATATATTTTGTAAAAGAAATCCGATTAATCTAATTAAAATTAGAGTATAAAGGAAAAAAAAAATGCATGTAAATAAAAACATTTAGCTTACACCCTTCTTCCTTAATAACATAGCGCTACCAGCCCTCTGATCAATTCTTGAAGCCCAACTCGACGCGGAACCGCCTCTTCCAGAATTACTACCACCATTAGTAGAACTACCTACAGGCAGATCCATCATTTTTGCTCCAGTTGCAAACACCGTTTTGACTTGAGCGATAGTAAAAATTCCTATAAGATCAGAAATATTACTTTCTACCCCAACATTATCCTCAGCGACACGTGCTACAAGATCCATAAATTCTGTTTGATAAATCATGGATCCTGGTATAATATACCAGAATGAAAATATTGTAGGTAACCAAGCTGAGGGAGAACATTCAGGAGATGCGGATGGAGCGGTAGGAAGGAATCGAACAAGATAGGCTTGTACGGTAAATGCATCACCAATGGAATTAGCATTGAAGAGAGGAAGAACTCGTGCAAGAATATCTTTTGTTGCTTCAGGTGAAAAAAATCTGCAATATTTATATATTTTATAATTAATTAATTAAATCAGGTTATAATGATATGTAATTTAAATGCACTATTAAATGAACTGTCAAAATAATACCTTTGAGCATGTTCAACTAATCGAACAACGGACCCTATTTGCTTGCTAAAAAATGGGTATACCGAAAATTAAAGAATAATAATTGATATATAAAAAATATAAATAATTATAAATAATCAAGAATGATTCCATTTTTATAATAAAATCACGTAATTACAATTAATTAAGGAACACTTGTAGATTAATAACTTCAAAATAAAATAAATAAGAAACAAATATTAGATTTAATTTAAATAGGATACGATTCACTGACTAAAGTTTTTTGACGACTTTTAGGAAAAAAGGTTCGATGAATAATATCAAACAATGGTTCCCAAGGTAAAGTTAAATCTTCAGGTCCAATTTTAGTCTTTTTTCTAATTTAATTTAATTAAATTTTTTTTTTTTTTTAAAAAAAAATAATCATAAAAATCAATAATTAAAGCTTCGAGAAAAAAAAAGAAAAAAAGTGGGAATATTTTGGTTATGGAATTCGTACTTGAGTAAACGCACACAGGCATTGGCAAACACTTCCGCGTGAGAAGCATCGATTCCGGGAGTGATAACAAGTTCGAAAAGAATTTTAGATAGTTGAGCGCGGATCTGACGTGATAAATGATACTGGAGATCAAGATAACTAATTCGCGTTGTAAAAATAAATTTCGTTAAATTCAAAGCATTACTGTAAAAAAACACGGATCTGATCTCGAGTAAGTATAGTGTCCAACCTATTAAGTTGTTTCACCCAATGACTACAGCCAGGACCCCAATCTTTTGCCTTGGCTGCTGAGCATAAAGCTTCTATAATTTCGTTCAATTGATTTTCAGATTCTCCTTTCAAATCAGAAGAATAAGGAAGATTTTCTGAAAACATGATTGATAAAACGTATTGAAAATCGTAGTAGTTGAAGTTTTTTATATGTATAGATCAACAAAAATTATTTATCTACCAATAAAATTTTGGCTGTCTGTAGAAGTTCGATGCACATACATACGCAAGCGTTAGTCGTAAGCGGGAAATTTCTGTACAACATTTAAGTATTTTTTTTTTTTATATTAAATTTTTATTAATATCACGAGGCGATATAATACATTCATGTATTATATATATTTATTATAGTTTTGCAATTATCAAATAATTAAATGACAATTTAATTTCTCTATTTGTGGGAAAATGCGGAACAAATTTAAAAGAAATCAATTTTGAGAAGACAATACTCTAAATGAACGAAAATGATTAAAGCAAAAATGATTGTCTTAAATTTTCAATAAATAAATGTGATTCAATTCGTCAAACAATGAACAACAGACAATAAAAGAAATATGCAATGATTTTTAGTGGCTTTAAATAACGAAACCAAGTTTCTCTATTAAACACAATGAAAAAGGTAATAAAATAATAAAATAATAAAAAAAGATAAGAAGGTATACAACAATTGATATTCCCATCCGTTCTGAAAAGCAATGGCGTAAAACATACGCCTTTCAGGTTCTAGAATAATCCTCGCATATCTACTCCTTCTATCACTTTTATCACTTTATCACCTTTATCACTTTTATCACTTTTATCACTTTCGTCACTTTCATCATTTCACAGATAAAAAATCTGAATTTAATTGATAACAAGTTTTTTTTACATATTTCACTTTTTTGTTTGTATATTTTTATTTAAATATAATTATAATTTTTTTTTCTATTTCACTTTTTTATCGATGAAGGAATAATTTGGTATCAAATAATAATCTAATAAAAATTAATATTTTTTTAAAGGGGAAAAAGGATAAAAAATAAAAAAAAAATAAAAAACAGAGACTATTTAACCGAATAAATGCAAGTAAGTGTCCATAAAATGCCTTTATATATATATAGCCTGTAAGATAGTCACAAATTTTGTTCAACTCGTAATATTTTTTTTTTTTAAAAAAAATATGTAAATTTTCGAAAAATTTGTATATATATATATATGAAAAAAATCGGATACCAAAAACACCTTACACTTTATACTCAATATTATTGATTTTTGCATAAAGTGCGAAAGGGAAGAGAAATTAAAGGGAGGAAATTTGTACAATTTGCAAAAAGAAGAAATAAGGTTTCTGTAAAAAAGAATATATATAATATATATATTACACAATCCAATTAATCCAATTCGTCCATCGCTTCAATTATATCAGCAAACAAATAAACGAATTTGAAGGAAAAAAGGTAATGATGGGAAGATATAGTGATATAATTTGTATTAAAATGAATCCAATAGATTTATAGTTTTTTTTTTTTTTTTTGATTTGTAATACTACTATTTAGATAGTATCCAATCAATCGAATGTTCATTAAAATTGAAGATCAGCCACAAACAATATGAAAAGAAGTTGGTTACCGAATTGAAATATTATAAAGCAAAGAAACAAAGTTACTAATTGCTCTCATATTTTCCCTCAGCGCAAAAAAAAAGAAACTTCAGCGAAAAAAACAACACGAAAAAAATAACAGATTTAAATTCGCCGAAACCTTCTATCCGAACAAAATATTAAAAAATCTTTTGAACATTTGGTTTTATTAAGGCTTTCTAAATTCCGTTAATACGGGATAAATCGCCTCGAATGCTTGATAAATTTCTTCACGAACCTAATTAAATAATTATATAAAATAATAATAAATGTCATTGTAATGTTCAATGATATTATTCCACATCAAACACAACATCAACACAACGTCAATACTACTTACTTTAGCACCAGTAAGAACAATTTTTCCTGACACAAAAATAAGTAATACGATTTTGGGCTTTACCATTCTGTAAATTAATCCTGGAAATAATTCTGGTTCATACTAAATTCCCAAAGGTAAATAAATGTAAGTAAAGGTAAGTGAAAGAAGTAAGTATGTGACATCTAATTCATGAAAATCGTGAATTCATGAAATCATTGATAATTGAAAATATTAATGAAGGATTACTTACACTACTAAAATGTCCGTGAGAGTAAGCTAGACCTTCCAAACGTATAGGAAATTTCACATCACAAGAACCCACAATGTTTTGAATTTTGAAATCGGTAAATTTTGCATTAAATCCAAGTTTTTGAATAATACGAGCGTATTTCCTACTGGCAAGTTTTGAGTCGTCTTCAGATTTGGCACCAGTAACCACCATCTTTCCCGAAGCAAAGATAAGTGCGGTCGTTTTAGGTTCACGTATTCTCATGATAACAGCAGCGAATCGCTAATAACATTTGTATTATTATATAACTTTGTTTAGCAACTTTTTTACTTTTTTTTTTTTTTTTATAAAGATTTTACCACAATTGTCTATGCTACCAATGCATAGCAATGCGGTAGTACCTTTGGATTATATTCTGCGTTTCTAGCATGAAGGGCGATGGTCTTTAGGTCAAGTTTGCAATCAAGATTGACAGTAGCAACAATGTTTCTAATAATAATGTAAAAGTCACGTGTAAATGTTCCACAAATAAATTAAAGATAAAAACAATTCTTTTTTTTCACCCCTTTTATTTCCCACTCTCACAAACACCACACCACACCCATCCCACTTTGTGTATATGTAATATCACTGATATATTATCAGTAATCTTTTTTTTTTTTTTTTAGGTCTTTGTAAAAAAATAAAACGGCAAAAAAAAAAAAAAAAAAAATACAGCAAAAAAAAAAAACAAAAAAAAAAACGCAACAAAAAATATAAAAAAAACCACAAAAAAATATATATACATATATACATAAATATATACAAAAAAAAAAAAATTATATATAAAAAAATACTTACTGCAACATGGGTACAATCCCAGCTACGCTTTGTGGTTGTGCCTGAGAACTTTCGGCACTATTGGTAACTTGTTCATCCACCATCATGCTAGTATTATTATTATACATCGTACCTAGAGAGGACGTTGGTACAGCAACGGCATGAGCAGCTTGACTGAAAGCAGCAGGCATAGAGTATTCAGCGTTAGGAAGAATATGACTCATTTTGGAAGATTAAAATTTACTGATTTAAAAGAAAGAGAGCCTATATGACTTTTTTATTATTATTTGAATAGAAAGGTTTGGATGAATTTTTTTTTGAACGTAAGGGGAAAATACGGAGCAATCAGGTTCGACAAAGGTTTATTATACTACTAATTCTCACTTAAGAGCTTAGTTATTTTTTTTTTTTTTGGTTATAGATCTCGTTAAAAAAAATAATAAACTTTTATCGATTGAAGTGAAAGGTAATAAATGTATTATTGTTAAATGTTATTTAAAGGAGAAAAAAATCAGATCCCTATTTATTTTTGTTGTTTTGTTAACGTTTTGCTGACGTAAGTCTCGTCACAACTAAGAAACACGTGATAATAATTGATTGTAATTGATAATAGAAATAAGTAATGACACTATTAGGTATAAAAAAAAATTTTTACCCAATTATAAAATAGTATCAAAAAGGATGATTAAAAGGATATTTTTTATTAATGATTGATTTGATAATAGGGAAATATATATAAAAATATATATATATATATTCGAAAAAAAAATAATATAATTATTATAAAAAATTAGGGACGAGGCCGTAAGTCGGAAATTGGGAGCAAGTGGGGCTTGAGGGATATTTATATGAATTTCGAAAATTATTATAGAATAGATTAATATGTAAATTATTATATATAGATTGTTATAGACCACGGGGTTTATCCATTTACTGAACTTGCGATCGTATTCCATAATAGTACATTGATTGGTTCAACAAAACACAGCCATGCGGATTTGTTATGACAAAAACGTATCTCAAACATAAAAAAAATCTTTTTTTTTAATTTATATTACATTATATTGTTTAATGTTAATAAAAATAATAATAATATTATTATTATTATTATTATTATTATTTATTTATTTATTTATTTATGTTGATTATGTGAACACATATTATAATAATATTATAATTCAAAAGAAAATAAAAAATACAGCTGCATATTTTTTTTTCGTATTTGTATGAAAACTTATACAAATACGAAAAAAAAGGAACAAAAAAAAAATTTTTTTTTTTTTGCCTTTAAACTTTTTTTGGGATTGATTTGTTGTTATTGTGTTTAACTCATTTTGAACAGATCAGTGTTGATAGAAGTAAGTGATAGAAGAAAAGGTGTACAGAATTTGTTTATCAATCTCATTCATCATTATCCTACACAAATTTCATACACCCAAAATATATATTAAATAGTCATTATGCGCATGACGCAGGTCAGACAAAAATAATATAATTAAGATATTTCATTTAAAATTAACGTATCACAACATACTACGAAAATATAAATTGTTAGATCATCATGTTTTAAATAATATATCAACTTTTTACTTTTTAACTATTTTATCTTTAAAATGGGTCAGTGAATTAGAAAAGGTAAAAAAAAAAGTGAATTAGAAAAGGTAAAAAAAAAGTGAATATAATATATTAGATAGATTATAAAGGATATATTGTGTATAATAAATAAATAAATATTCCATTGAAGTCAACATTTCATCATCTTGGACTTAAGATTATAGAGATTAATAGAATTTTATAAAGAATTTGATTATTAAATTATCGGAGTTTGTAAAATACCAAAATCCAATTTTTATTATTTCCATTTTAATAATTAATAAATATTTTATTTACAACTACAACTATTAGGGATAAGTATTGAGTGTATTAAAGGATAATTTTGAGGTTTTTTTTTTTTTTCGGTTAGAAATTTATCATTTCATTTATAGTTGAGAAAGAAATAAAGTGTGATTATAGAGATTATAGACAAGGAAATAATACAAAGGGAGGTGATGGTGATTATATTAAAAATGTCGTGATTATTTATATTGAATATTTTACGCTAAATGTTTATGCCGCTGCTGAATGTTTATGCTGGATATTTATACTCATTTATACAAGCAAATAAAGTTTTGTAGAAATTAACAAAAATAGTACAAAATTTAACGGAAATACAGAATTGCGTAAATTACGTATAGTATACAGTATATATATAAATGTACTTTTTTTATTTTGTGTATAATTAATGCATGAACTGAAATGTTTACGTTGTATAAATGTTGTGTATAAATGTCGTGTATAAATATTCATTTCAATTCATTTGCACTCGTGACCTTTTAGCGAATTCCAAGATAAACCTAGTTTGCCTATCTATTTGATCACGACGTAATTACCTAAAATTAATTAATAAAATTAAGTTTAAATTAATTATAATTATTTAGTTAAATTAAATAAAAATTTATATAAATAATAATAATAATAATAAATAATAATAAATACCAGGAAAATCGCCCACAATTCCATTTATTTTACCTTTCCACCAACTATTAGGTCCATCTCCTTTCTCAATCACTTCAATTAAATCTCCTTTTCTAAAATTTAATTCATTTTCTTCTTTACCCTCGAAATCATACAATGCAGAAGCATAAATACCATTTGTTGGTACAATCGAATTTTGTTGTGGTGTCGGTGATGGTGATGGTGGAATCACTGGTTGATCTAGATAATGATGTTTATCTTCTATAGATTTAAATTCAATTTCTGAATTTCTCTTTCTCCTCCTTGAACAATAAAAAAAACCGATTAATAATACTAAAGCAAATAATATACACCCAACAACAACCCCAATAATAACTTTGTTATTATTATTCTTCGTCTTCTTATCATCATCATTATTCTTATTATCATCACCATTTGGTGTAGTCTTATTTTCGTTACCGTTATTATTT